TTAACAAAAACCAACCCACCCCCACCCCCCAAACTATAGCACACAGATTGTTGCTTTTTTCTCTCTAAACTACCCACAGATATTCTTCTTGATGTTCTTGAAGAACATGAATGCAAAATCTGAAAAAAACAAACCAAATTTAAAAGCTAGATAATTTGATCTTGGCTTGTGACTGTTGAAAATGGGTCAATCTCTAACTAATAGGTAAAAATTTTTATATTATTATTTTTATAACTGATATAAAGTTTTCTTTTAAAAGAATAATCACAGAATCACAGAATGGGGAAGGTGGGAAGAGGGACTGCAGTGGGTCATCTGGTCCAACCTCCCTGCTCAGGAAGGGTCATCCCACAGCCCATGGCACAGGATGGCCCCTGAATATCTCCAGTGAGGGAGACTGCAGAACCTCACTGGGCAATCTGTGCCAGTGCTTGGTCACCTGCACTGTCAAGTTCTTCCTCTTGTGTAAGTGGAATTTCCGTGCATCAGTTTCTGCCTGTTGCCTCTTGCCCACTGCTCAGCAGCACTGAGCAGAGCCTGGTCCATGCTCTGACACCCCCCTTCAGATACTGACTGACTGATTAGATCCTGTCTCAGTCTTCTCAAGGCTGACCATGCCCAGCTCCCTCAGCCTGCCCTCACAAGAGATAATGGCACAGAGTTTTGTCTTTGCTAGAAGCCCGGAATTAAATGGGAATCACAGTGATCTCATCTGTCAGAATTTTGTAGATGCTATTATGAACGCTGATATTTTTGCAGTTGTATGCATTCTGAACAAAAATCACCCTGAAAAACATTAGCTCTGTACCCTCATCTTAATTTCTTTAGTCCTTTTTAACACTGATAACTCCACTCTGCTGAGGAGTATGAAGTATATAAGAAAATCTGATTTTCGATGTAGAAAAAATAATCCTTGAAGTGTGAGGGTATTCCTACTGTGTCTTACCTTATTTATTAGTTCTGGAGCAGAGGGGGTCAGAGCACAGCCACCTCTGCTTTACAGAGGCATACTTTAACACTCAGCTTGCAGAAAGCAGCTCAGGCTCAAAAATTGATTTGAAGTATAAATCAAATTTAATAGTATGGCTCATAAAATCATTCCCAGGGAGCACTGCCCTTGCATAAAACCAGTAAAAAAACATGTAATTTTTATTCGTTTAAATAATTTGTGTCTGAAACATTCCTTGGAATATTTACATTCTCAAATTCAAGCTTGAAAATTGAGCATAATTTTAAGGAGCAGTCACGCTGTATTTTAAATTCAGTCTCTTTCTACTACCTCTTTTCTCCTCTGTCTGTGATTATTTATCATTCTTGGTAAATTTGGAGAAGAAACTCTGGTTATATCTGTTAGAAATCTGAATAAAATGTATCGGGCACTTCTCACCACTCTTTAGAAGCATTCAAACAACACTGAGGTGATAAGGGAGAAGTCTACTCCATATAAAACAAAACAAAACAAAACAAAAACAAAACAAAACAAAAAAAAAAAACCAACCCAACTAAAACAGTCATGGACTGGAACTGGAGCAGAGGTTATTAATGGGTAACAGGAAAGCTTTCCCATTTCATCAGGTAACTGACATTCACAACAGCTGTCACTCAGTCCTAATGAAAAAATGTCCCTTCATTAGATTAAAAAATTAAATCTATTTTATTGCTATGTCTTAAGAGTACTGATTCATTAGCAGCAAAATTGAAAGTTCTGAAGAATTCTGTATCATTCCATTATTATTTGTTGAGACTTACTGTCATGGTTTGTTACTACAGAAATTAGGTGGGTTGGAGCTAGATGATCTTCCAACCCAAATCATTCTGTGACTCTGTGGACTTACCTCCCAACCTAGCAATGACAGTAACTGAAAAGTCATTAACCAATGAAATACCTACTACCAGTCAGATATTTACTAATTACAACTCAAGTGACAAATAAAATGGCAGTCAAAAGCCTGTGTTTTTCAACTCTAAAGACAAATGTCAAATAAGCGATTCTTTACAGGTAGCAAACTTCTCTATTTAGCGATTCTTTTAACATAGTGTTGATATTGTTTAAGTAGTTACACAGCTGTGCTCCACTAATGGGTATGTTTCCAGATAATATTTAGAGATATAACTTGACTGTAAAGGCATTTGAAATTACAGACTACCCATCTTTCTTTGGAGATCATTACAAGATGTAATCTTTCTCACTTTGCTTTCCACTACATGGAAACAGCTATACTGAGAATAAAGAAACTGCTGCTAAATCACTGTATTGCTAATGGCAGTGTGGTGTCAAATACCATTTGCTATCTAACTGGAGGGACTTTGCCTTATATCCACTTGCTAAACCCCACAGTTATTTCCCAAAGCACTCTGGTAAGGAGGCAGAGCAGTGTGTTCAGCCTGATACAGGCCAAGCCATTCACAGTTTAGAGACCTACTTGCTAGAAGGACTCAATGAGAAATGGATACTGTCAAATGCATTAAACAGGGTGCCAGACTGTCACTCTTTGCAAGGGACCTCAAACCAAATGGCACATCCAGCTCCTCACCCAGATCAGCACAAAAACTAGTTGGATTCAGTTTCTGCAATCATAGGAGAGAACAACAGCAAAACTTGAAAGAAGCAATGCTGCTTTCATTTCTTTAATTTGATTGTAAGCTTGGAATTCTGATTTTGGTTTTTGAAGGAATTTTACTCTAAACATAGTGCCTAAAAGTATTTTGATATGTAAACTTTCAAAGGCATTATAAGAAGCAGAATCTAAAATGAAACTTTTTGTATGCAATATATGCTTTGCAGGGTCAATTATTTTATTGCATTATTACATCCAAAACCAACGGACATAGGGTTAATATTGTCACTTGAAATGTAGGAAAGAGACTAATCTCTCATTTGAAAATGACACCTTTCTTTTTGTAAGATGGCAGTTCTTCTGCTGCGGTGTAATAGGCTGAGAATTACTGTGAATCAAAAAATGAAATAATTTGTGTAACCAATGTAATGGTACTTCAGCCTAATGAAGAGTACTTTATTTTCAGTGATGATGGGAACACAAGGAGAAACCTGCAAGGGTAGAGCATGAGCCCTGCAAATTACACTGGGCAGCAGTTTACCCATTCCAGTCACCTTGCAGTTCATGTCACTTCACCTCCTCCTGCAGCTTTACACATTTAAAGGTGGCTATTTCTGAGAGCTGTGCTGCCAGAAGCTATGGCTTGATAGCCATATGCTACTGAGATGACTCACATAACGTGTTTCATGCTGATGTTAGGCACTGATGGTGTAATACTGTCACATGAGGATGTGTTACTGTCAATGCTATTATTGATATTGTACAGACCAGGCTAAAGCATTGTTGGTGTGGGTATATTGACACTTCATAACCTAGACTATGTCCAGCATATATATAATTCTCACTTTTCAGAACAATAAAGAATTCCCATTCTGACAGTCTTGCTGGCCAGAATTTGTAATTTCTCATTGATTGTAATATACAGTAAGTGACAAAATAATTTTAAGTGGCTAAATCTCAGGAGAAAAAACATGCTACATCCCCCATTTCCCTGGTGTAGCTTCTCCTTGTAGTTCAACAGCCTTTATAACAACTTGTAGCTTGTGTTACATTCAGAAGGTAAACATATTTGAGATCAAAGACCAATACCATTTTATGTTATAGCTCACTTTTAGAAGTTTCTCCAGTATTGCTTTCTCACTATTAACAGCTGATCATACCATAGTGACTTCACAAGAAATTCGGGATTTGTTGTTTATATGTAATGTGGGAATTGTGCATTTGGACACTGAAGAGCCATTCCTCACAAAACCAGTGTTACAGCAGAGTTGGAAGGGACCTTAAAGATCATTTTGCTCCAAATCCCCAGCAGGGATATGTTGTACTAGACCAGGTTGCTCAAAGTCCCATCCAGCCTGGCCTTGAACATTTCCAGAGATGGGCCATCTATAACATCTCTGGAAAACATGTTCCAATGCCTCTCTATCCTAACAGTGAAGGATTTCTTCCCAAGAAGGATTTCTTCCCAAGTGAAGGATTTCTTCCCAAGATCTCATCTAAACCTACTGTCTTAGTTTAAAGCCATTCCCCCTTGTCATTCTATCTCCTTGGAAACAGTCCCTCTCCAGCTCTCCTGCAGGCCCCTTTCAGGTCCTGGGAGGCTGCTGTAAGGTCCCTGCAGAGACCTTTCCAGGCTGAACAATCCCAACTCTCTCAGCCTGTCTTCCTAGGAGAGGTGTTCCATCCCTCTGAGCATCTCTTTGTGACTTCTCTGGACTCCCTCCAGCAGGTCCCTGTCCTTGTGCTGGGGTCCCAGAGCTGGTGCAGAGCTCCAGGTGGGGTCTCACGAGGGCAGGGCAGAGAGGTGGAATCTGCTCCCTCAGCCTGCTGCCCACGCTGCCTTTGATGCAGCCCCGGACACAGATGGCTTTCTGGGCTGCAGATGCAACATTGAGGGATCATGTGGAGCTTCTCATCCACCAACAACCCCAAGTCCTTTTTCCCAGGACCGCACTGGATCCATTCTCCACCCAGCCTGTAACTGTGCTTGGGATTGCCCTGACTCAGGAGCAGTACCTTGTACAGGCCCTGAACTTCGTTAGGATCGCGTGGCCCCACCTCTCAAGCACGTCCAGGTCCCTCTGGATGCCACCCCTTCCCTCAAGCACAGCTTGGTGTCATTGGCAAACTTGCTGAGGGTCCACTTGGTCCCACTGTCCATGTCACAACAAAGATGTTAAACAACATTCCCAGCCCTGAGGAACTCCACTCATTATATGGGATAGTGAATCATCTCAAGATGTCTTGGGTTCTCTGTGCTCGTGTTCTAGCAACTGCAGCAGCACTAACAGCATTTCTGTGACACTGTAAACCATATCTCAACATTGACTAAAACTGAGAGTTTAGAGAAATACATATTAAGATATACAGATAAGCAGATATAAGAATAAATGTAAACTATGCAGAATATCCATTTCAATTTGTCAATTGCTTAATTAACAGGAGGAGGATCAGTCAAGCTTTTCTGGTTATGAGAGCACAGGAGGTGAGTTTCTTTTTCAGTGTCAATTGCCATTTAATTTTGAAACATTTAATTTCCTGTTATTTAAATAGTTACTTAGAAAGTAAAGTGAATTCAGATGATTTATATTGTGAACTTTATGCCTCAAGGGATTTTTATCATGTGAATTATTTTGAATGAAATTTAAAGTCTGTAAAAAATGTTTCTATACTCTTTTGGCCAATGGATCCAAAATTATTAGAAAATACTACTATTAATCAGCATCAAATCTCATAGGTGTTTTCAGAAATTGGCAGTTATGAAAGTCTCCTTGGAAAGGTTCTAAGAGTCTAAGAGGAATGAAATGATAAAGCAAAACTTTTCAGGGCTAATGATTATTTTGTAATAAGAGATCTGCACACCACAAAATAAACCCCAAAAATTGTATGAGGCGTCTTGTATGTGATTAACAAAATCACATATATGTCTTGTAAGTGATTAACTCAAAGACGTAATAAAATTTCAGCAGACTGACATGGTGCAAGATCACCTTCTGTACTGTATAATCGGTGCAATGGCTGGGACTCAGACCAGAAGGAATTGCTTTTTCAAAAGATACACTTTCAGTTAAAGACAAAGCTGTAATACATACATAGTTTTGGTGAGTGTATTGCCTGGATTTCAGCTAAGATGGTTATTATTTGGCTGAATTTGAGGCTCAGAGGAATCCAGAACTACATTTCAGAGTGTATAAAATATAAATGGGAGTGGACATAATTCTATAGCAATTATAATGTAATAATATGGTCAGTAGAAACTGCAGTGGCTGAGGAGGCATTGCATCACAATATAACATCGAGATGAATCTGCTTCTCTCTCTTTTCTTTTTTTCAAGCACTGATATGTATTGCAAGGTCTATTTTCAGGTAAAATGTCTTTGAGAGATTAATAGGCTTGTGGATAATAGCTCCTTTTGGAATGGAGAAAGTAGATCTATTTTTTATAGCAGAAAGTAAATCTAGTAAAATCAGATCCCCTTGCATGAGTGTTACACAGTTTGGTGTGGTAAGTAGCTGGCATTAAAATTAATAGCTCTTGCCACTAAAGAATTTTTATTTTCATTTTAGATTTTTCAGAAGATCTAAGGAAATCAAACATCATTTTTGTTTTTGGTAAGTAGAATTCCTAATTTAACTGCTACATTTGAATATTCCCATGCTGTTTAGCTTTGATTGTTTGATTTATTTATTTATTTAGCAAAATAGATTGGCTGAGAATATTTATTCTACAATGTTGATTTATTCTTTTGAAAGAGAGTTAGGATTTAATGAGATGTCTTTGATTGTGAACATGTTCAAAATAACCTTAGTTCTTTCGCAGTTACAGTTGAGTTGTGTGACCTCCCACACCAAAGCTGCCTCACCAGCACTAATTAAAATTTTACTAAATTGGATTGTAACTCAGAAGTTTAAGATTTGGCTGAAATATACGTGGTCTCTTCCCTTCTTTATTTGTGAGGCAACTTCTGTTAAATACAGGTTTCCATTCTGCATGTGTTCAGCATTGTGTTCAAAGCCAACAGACTGCTCACCAGGCATGATCCTTAGCACTGAAGTTCTGCAGGTTCAGGGTTTACTTTATGTTGCTTTTGGAAATCCACAGAGTAAAAGCACCATGTTAATGCCCTTTATCACATGAACGTGAGTAATATAATTAGCATAAACTTGGAGCAGTCTTTTAAAACAAATTATAACCAGAAGATTGATCTTAAAGCTTGGTACTAATTACTTGGAAAGAATAATTGCTTTTGTATTGAGCAGTTTTTAGAACTGCTTTACAATCCAGAGCAGGAACACACATTTCCAAGGACCTAAGGATAGATACCAGAACATGGGGGATTTTACATAAAACTAAATCAATTTGTGCATTGTTCTTCCTGGGGAAAAAGAAAAGCAAAAAAGAACTTCCAAAATTAATAATAAGTGAATGGAAATTTCATTCAGAACTCAAGAAGCATCAAAAAACATTCCAATACCTGCAGGTTGAGGGAGATGATGCTTCCTCTCTATTCAGCACTGCTATGGATGCATCTGGAGCACTGTGTCCAGTCTGGGCTCCCACTACAAGAAAGAATATGATTTACTGGAGTGAGTGTGGGGCAGGAACACAAAGATGCTTGAGGAATATGAGCATCTGTGATTTGAGGAGAGGCTGAGAGAACTGGAACTATTCAGCCTGGAGAAGAGAAGGCTCCAGAGGATTTTGCCATTAAGTATAAATAATTATCTGATGGGAGGGAATGAAGATGGGGGAGCTGGAATCTTTTCAGTTGTGCCCGGCGACAGGACAAGAGAAAATGGATTCAATTTCACCTGAACACAAAACCCACTTTTTTACTATGAGGGTAGTCAAACACCGGAACAAGTTGCCCAGAGACTGTAAAGTCTCCAAGCTCAGAGATGTTCAAACCCCAACCTGACAGAGTTCAGATCAACCTGCTGTAGCTGATCCTGGCGTAACAGTTGTTTGACTAAATGATTCCAAGAAGTTCCTTGCAACCTAAAAGATTCTATTAAAAGAGTGTTCTCATATTGCAATTTTATCTCATGCTCTCTTATGCCAAATACAAGTTGACTCAATTTATTTCAACTCAATTTTTATGTGTTTGAAAAAGTAAAATGAGGATACTGAAGAGTTCACTGGAGACTTTTCTTAAGGGAGGGGTGCATAAAACCTAATTTTCAGTCTTCAAGCAAACTGTAATCTATGCTTACTGAAATACACCTTCCTGCTAGTCTCTACAGTGAAAATTTTTAATTCTCTGTCTCACATATCTTATAGAAAAAAAAAAATGGGTTTGTACAAACAAATTTTTAAGAAAAAAAGAGAGAACACACTCAAGGAATTTGCCTCTGAAATTGTCCATGGCAAAGCATCTTCTTCATTCGCCTCTGGGAATCCTTTTAGTTTACAAGGAGTGATTTTAAATTTTCATCTATAATTTTTTATAAGACATCCAGTAGCCATCTCGCAGATTAAAATTGAAATGACACCTCTTTCCTAGTTTTTCCCCACTCTGATTTTCTAGTAATTACTTACTGGGAGCAGAGATAAATTGTACATTAATCAAAACTCTGTTTTCTTTGTTAAGAAAGGTTATTGTGAAAAGTTTTACTAAGTCCAAACATGGAATAATTTTCAAAAAATTATCTAGAATGATTTATACTTTTTCCCAAAATAACTCCATCTCCACCCCCCATCCTTGCACCCCTGAAAAAGTTTCTTAAAGTTTTATGAGAGGAGTGAGAAGTTTTTTTAGGCTTGTTGGGGGTTTTTGAACAAAATGAGACCCCCATGGTTGCTCATTTGTCTGCAAAATCTTGACTTTATTCCACACATAGGTGGATATGAGGAAATAATTTTCCATGAGGAAATAATAAGATGCTTATAAAGGTGTTTTAAAGCTAGAATTTTAAAGATGTACATTTGAAGAAGTTCACAAACGAATCAAAATAAATGCACCATCTGCCATACCTGACAAACAGAGATACTGTTTATGACAAAAGGGAAAGAAACAGGCAGTTCTCTCTCCCACTAATTACTCTTGAAAATTTTCCAAAAAGGGGAAGAAACAGAAATAATCTAATTAGCAAAAGTTTACATTAGAGCTAATGTAGGAATTAATTGGAATAACAGTCAGGTTGGATTAATTAAGCAACAATGTCAATGTTCTATTCATATTGTAAAGCAGAGAAAGAGTACCAGCAAGTAAAAAATATAGGAGATAACAGCAGGATAATAAAAGAGGCAAAACAAAGATACATTTGGACAGTAAATAAAATTCAAGAGAAAAAAATATGAAGATGCACAAAGATAAAATTGGGTGATGCTCTAACAAATACTCAAAACTTAGGTAATTATTGCCAGTCATTAAAAGCACAAACAAAACACCTAAACAAAAAAACCCCCTATGTCATCAATTTTAACCGCAATGAATGATGAACGATCTTCTAATTGTTAACTACTGCAATATTCCATATTGCATCCACAGAACTGTCATACAAAACACAGTTTCTGGGAGCATTACCCCGCCCTGGCCTCTGCAGAAGCTTCTCAAAACATTTGGCTTCGGTTGAGGCTGAAAGGAAAACCGGAGGTTTCAGGAATCTTTCTGTGCTTTGGATCAGAAACAAACTCCCTGCTGACTTGTAAATGAGGTGTTTAAAGCTTAGCTAATGTAACCACTCTCCTCTACAGAATATTTGTTATATTCTTGCTGATGATCCAAAGCTGGTAATTGCTTAGCTCAAAGTAGGAAAGACCAGCTTTTTAGCTAACACTGAAGTTATTCTCACCACTTACACCTAGAAACAGACATTATCAACTGCAGACAGGAGCTTCTTGCACACACACCAAAATTCAATGAGTAAATATATCACAAAGCTCAAACTCTTTCTTTATTTGTCCCAGGTATGTCAGACCTTGAATGGCATAACCTAATTCAATTTATCATGAATTTAGGCCTGCTTTGAGTATAAGGTTTAACCAGATGAGGTCCCTTCCAATGTAAATTATGCTGCAATACCTGTATTGGAGCTCCTTCTGCAATCAGAAAAGCATACAGTACAGAATGAGCAGTACTGATAATTAAACCCCCAGTCAGTCCAAGCTAACTGTGAATGCTGTGCAAGGCTGATTTCCTTGACTTGCTGTGAAATAAACTTCACATTTGCTTTAAGAAGAATGAAAACTCAGCGATGTCCCAGGATATTGCATCACTCTGCCAAGATGCACAATGCGTTGTTTCCTAATGAAAATAATTTCTCAGAAAACAAGAAATACAAAGAAAGTGTTGAGGGCTTTTGTTGTTGTTGTTGTTGCTAAATAATAGTACAATTACTGTATGGTTTCACTTAGACTAAAATAATTTGTGAACAGCAGATGAGGTGCTATTGAGAAGCCTTCAAATGTCATATTCTGAAGTTAAGGCTTATTTTTACTTGTCTGTATAATCCAAGTAGCATTGGTAAAATTGCCAAACTGATCAAGTCATCTAAAATTTTTGCTTGAATTTAGGGACAGGCTGACTGGAGTTTGGTTTCAATTCAGACTTCTGAGGCTCCCTTGTGCAGCTAGGTTTCCCCTGCAGGCATTTCTCCCTGATACAAGGATGATGCTCATTATGATAACAAGGTCTTGAAATTGAAACATTTTAAAATAAATAGTGGGACTGTCTTGTAAATCCTACTGCTGGCATTTTATATAAATGCCCATGATATTTTGGTATGTGATAAACTTGTAAGATTTAAAATAGAGGCATCTAGGTCTGTCTGCATGACACTTTTGCTCTACCAGTATTTCTGGCAGCAAAGCTGGTCCATGCACTGCTCATGCTGCTTGTTCCTGGCCCTGCTCACTCGCAGCAGCAGTCCCAGCTCCCTCTGTCACCATTAATTCATCTGCTGGTGGCGTTGTGCTCCAGGTCAGAGCTGTACATTTCAGTCACATGGCCAAGCTCCTCGGCCTTCCCACTCTGGGGGACACTGGGGCAGGAGGGAGGGGAGCTGAGACCTTTGATCCAGGGCTGACTGCACCTGACCACCCAGAAGTGCTCCTTGGGCAGCTGGTTGTTACCACACTCACTGAGACTCTTTTTCTCTCCTTGAAGGACTCTCTGTGAAGCATTTCTGCAGTCAATAATTAAATGGGGGAAAGTAACCACCTAAGTCAGCAGTGCTGCCAGAAAGTTATTTACCAGAAGATCCCCTCTCACAGGCTGATGAATCAACATAATGGAAGGGAATACTGCTCTAAGGGATTGCACAGACCTTTTAATCTGGCCTTGTCTGCAGAAAAGCAATATAGAGAACTGCTTTTAATTTCTGTGCTAGTACTCTGGTTCCACATCTTGCTGACCATTTGTATCAAAAAGCACAAAGGGACACTCAAAGAGTTCTGTTTCCAAGAATAACCTCACTGATTAATACAATGTTCTTAATTTCTTTACCTGCAATTTTCGGATTTTTATTAAGTTACCAAATGAGCTTTAAAGCAAGGTCCACTGCACTGAGCAATACAAGGAAAATACAAAAGCATGCTAATATTGAAGAACTGCTGGTAATTCTGTATTGTCCTTATTGCACTCCTAAGTCCTCTGGCTGTTTTCTAAGCTTTAGCTTTTTCTCTTCATGTCATATATAGAAATTGGAAGACAACATGATTAATCTGAACAAGTTATCAGGAACCTACACTTTTTTTTCCCCCAAGTTTACGTAGGCAGATCACAAGATGACAGCATACAGAAAAAACAACAGTGTTCACAGAGAATCTTACGCCTTCACAACAAGAGTGGGGATATATTTTTTTACTAACAATTGAGCCATTGGGAAAACTTGATTACCTTTTTCAATGCCCCAAGTATTTTCCATGTGAAAGACAGTGTAACAAGTTGCAGTGAAGTCTTAGCAGAAAAAATCTTTTTGCTAGCCTTTGTCATGTTTCATATGCAGCTGTTATTCCAGATAAACTTTCTTTAGAAAAATGAACAGATTTAAGAAAAATATCCACTAATAGAACAGGTACACTTTTGGTAATACTACAAATTATTTGTGAGCTTCATAGCTGCAGGATTAATTTGCTGTTAAAGCTGCTTATGTAGCAGTCTTTTAAGTATACAATCTGAGCAAGAAGGCAACACCTAATTAGTAAGAAAATGCACTTTCACATCTTTTCCCACCTGAATAGCTCTATTGCAGTCACATTAAAGAACTTCAGAGGGAGACAAAGTAATATTTTCATTTCAGATACGTAAATTAATACTGGTGTAAAGGCCAAGTTGTGCTCAGCCCTCAATGCTGAACTTCCTGGGGAATTCAGTCTCTTCTCAGATCATGCCAAGCAAGAACTGTGGTCTCATTCATGGATAAGAAAGCACAAGACTTGATAAAGTGGGCTGTATGCATTTGTCAAGCAGTGGGATGCTCTGCTACTCATCAGATGAATCTAAATTAATACCAGTGGCCATAAAAACTACCGTTTTTAGGACATAACTTAATCAAATATGTTTTTTACTCTTTAAAGAGCTCAGCATGTTAATCTTTCCTTTGTTTGAACTCTGCTATTAAAAAATGGTCTTTTTAATTAATGTTTTGTAGGAACACTCATGGTATATGCCCTGCATATTGTGCCACTCTGACAGTGTTCTCTTTACACAAAGGTATTAGAAACATATCAAATTTCGTGAATATTTACCTGCTAAAAACCAAAAAACATCCTTGTATTGTTATTTCTAAAAAGAGATCTAGTTAATTTTGTATATGAGGAGAAATTATGAAATTTCTCATTGGGCTCTGCATTCAGAAGAGAAACAGCTATATAAGAAAAAGAATACAATGATCTTTATAGCTGGGGTTTTTTAATACTGCATATATACACCAAATAGGATTAAATTACTGCACTGTTAGCATATTCAGGGGATAAAATGTGTAAACAAACGTATTGATCTAAAAAAGCCCAAAACAGGCCAGAAATACTATTAATTGCCACTCTAATATTTAAGGGATTCATTACTAGTAATTTGCCTGTAATTTTGTTGCATCAGTTTCTTTATAGCCACTCCTATTTTTTCCTTACTTTCTTTCAGCTAGTGTTTTTAAAAAACAATAATGTTCTTCATATTATGGCAATAGGAAAACAACATGCAATCCACATTGGCCAGAAGATAAGCCTGCAACAAAGATAGTTCTGGAAAAATTGTAGCACAGGTGTGACTCTCACACCACAGGCTGGGTATTCTCCTTGTGAAGCTGAAGTAAAGCACTGCATGTCGCAGAACACAAACCCCTTCCTTTGATGCTACTCCTTTATAACCCAATTTTAATCTCAGCTACAGTACTGCAATTTGCCTGAAAATTATATGCTTGGAGTAATTATTTCTTACATTGAAAGCAAAAGTTAGAAGAAAGTTCAAGTGAGGCAAGAGACGGTGCTAAATTTGCTCTATTGTGAACATGTTATTCCTATATTTGTTTGTGGAAGGATAAGGAAACAGGAAAGCCACATATTTTCTAGCATCTTAAATGCACGGAGCAGAGCTGTGTAGCCCTACCTGCAAGTCCCAGCAGCTGATAAATAACACAGGTCACCTGCTGAAAAAACTCCACTGAAAAGAGTTTGAGCATTGTCTCCCTCCAAGGCTGTAATTACCTCCTGCTGCAGTAGATCTTCTGAACAGATCCATCAGAGGCTGCGAAATTGCTGCTACACGCAGTGAGGTTTTCTCCACAAACTCACAGCAGGAATTGGCTTTTCCCGCCCGCCATGCCCTGGCGCCAACATGGCGCCTCAGGGCCTCGCCTCAGCTGTGCCAGCCACGCTGGGACACCTGGCAAGCGGCTTCCAGCAGGTTCCGTGGGCTGTCCCTCTCTCCAGCCAGGCGGGGGTGGCTGCAGTGCCTCAGCAGGAGCCTGAAGAGAGAGGCCTTCATGCCATGGCTTTCCGTGCCACGGCCTTGGAGCGGAGGAGAAGCGGCCGCCTGCATGGAGGAGCCCGGCCAGGCAGCGCCTGCACCTGCAGAGCAGCACAGGCAGAGCTCTGGGGCTCTGAGCTGGAGGCTGCTCGCTGGCCAGAGGAAGCAGGAGGCTGGAGGAGCCATTCCTGCCAGGAGGACACCCAGAGCATTCCCTGGTTATGCCCTTCCCCTGCTGGCGCTCTGTCCCACAGCTCCGTGGGCAGGACGGGGCCAGGTGCAGCTGGGAGCTCGTCGTTATTCCCCTCACAGCAGTGCACTGAACATTGCTACGATTTGTTGCAGCTGTCAAACTGAACGAGTACTGAGTGAAATACCCTTTTCCACAGGCTGTTTCATGATTTTCCTTAACATGCCAATGGTGTTTTAGGAACAGGTTTTCCTCTGTGAGAATTTCACACTGTTGTGACTCCTTCAACTTCAATGCATTTTTGAGTCAGCACTGTAGTTGTATCAGAAGAGAAGTATATGACTTGTTCCACTGTAGATGGTGTCTCTAAAAAAAAAATGAATTGCAAAATAGTCAGCGTCATCATTTTCCTCCCATTTTCTTGGTGGGTACAGTTTGATAATTGGAAGATTTTTGTTCTTTTCTAATTCTAGTTATTTTTTCCCTCACATAGGTGGCCCTGGTTCTGGCAAAGGTAGCCAATGTGAACAGTTAGCCAAGAAATACGGATTTACTCACCTGTCCACTAGTGACCTTCTCCAAAATGAATTATTGTCATTATCAGAGAGAAGTAAACTGATCAAAGACATTGTGGAATGTGGTGAACCTGTGCCTGGCGTGAGTGATGGTTTTATTTGGGGTTCTAATGGTTGAACAAAGGCAATGGTAGGAATATTGTCTAAAACAGTGGAAATAGATACTGGAGCTGATGGTTCCCATTTCAGTAAAATTAATCTGTAACCTCAGGGAGGCATTTCCTCTTTGCCAAATCTGTGGCACTTGTTTCCCTTTTCAGTGCCAGTATTTCTTTATGTTTCACACAGGCAATAAATCAGAAATGAAATATAGTGAGACAGATGCATTGCAAAATGTAAGTGTAAGTACAGGAAACAGAAACTTTATGTCCTTTTTATAGCGTCACATTTCAGATTCAGAGCTGGTCCTCCTGGCAGCTATTTTAAATTACAGTACCTGCAGCAGTTCCCTGCAGAGCTGGCTGACATCCCAGAGTAGCTGGACTGCAGCTTAATGGAGATTGTGAAGGCAGAGGGTGTTGTTCTCAGCTGGACCTGACTTTTACACGGCAGGTCTGCAGTCCCAACTCGTGGTGGGTCTTCAGCAACTGCAGCTAGGTCAGAGCATGTGTTTGTTAATGAAAGATACTGGGAAATGTTGCTCAGGGGAAACTAAAAGCTGTGCTTAGGCTTGATTTTGATTGCTTTTCTCTTCAGTGTGTTTGGTCAGATGGGGTCACTTCCCATGTGATATCATTATACCAGTGACATAGCAAAATGCAATCAGATTGAAATTGCTGCAGCAGTACTCTAGAGTTTCACAGGCATTAACATTCATTCTGAAACTACGAAATATTCTGAGCTATCTGGAGGGCACTTTGGGAAATCTTGGGTGGATTGCAGCATCAGATTTGTGTGGCATAGCTGGTCCTGAGAGAATAAAAAGCAGGATGCCCTGCTACCTGAGGGACAAGAAAAACACCTGCATTCACAGGACCCACTTAGAGCCAAACAGGACCATTTTCAAGGGTGTAGGACTAAAGTCAGTGCAACAAACAGAGGTATCAGTCTTTCTTATTAATTCACCAACTAATTCCCTCTCTTTCCTGTACAGGGTATTGTTCTGGAGCTATTGAAGGAAGCCATGGTTTCCAAGCTAGGGGACACAAAAGGATTTCTGATCGATGGGTATCCCCAAGAGCTGAAAGATGCAGAAGAGTTTGAGAGCAAGGTGACCATACAACTGTAATGCTGTTGTAACTCCTGTAATTCTGGTGCTGCTTCGGTCCCTCTCTTCAGCTGATTGCAGCAGGAACATGTGAAAAGCCAATCCAGCAGAGCTGTGCTGATGATCACTGAAATTTTAGCACCCCATCAGTGTAGCAAATAGCTGTTGCCTTTACCTACAAAGAATCTAGAATACAAGGAGAAGTAGAGGATGATTTTATCTAAATTTTATGTAAACTAGAAACAATTCACATTTAAGGGAAAACCATAATTTCAGAACCAGTTTCCTTGTTCTAGTGGATAGTGCTGTACTTCTCGTGAAAATGTGATCAAGCACTATCTGATGCAGCATCATAAAAGTATGTATCTTCACAGGTAATATTTATTACCAGTAAGCCAGCTCTGCTCAAGCTTGCTGCCACTTGAAACAGCCAAAGACAGATTTAATTTTTGTGGTGAGTAACAGGTGGCACAGCCATAAAAAGAGCGTTCTGCAAGTGCCTGCGTGGCAGTTCCGAGAGCTCTCGATTTCCTCAGTATGTGCTGAGACCTCGTGAGAAGCCTCAGCCGTGCATTTCTCAGTCTGCAGGAAATACTCTGTCTGAGCCTGTCAGTGAATCTGCCAGGGTTTGGGAGAAAAGACGTGGTGAATTAGGGTTGATAGTTAGTATATGCTACATCATACACTCCAAAAATGTCCTAAACAAGTTTATAAGGTAATAAAACTTTAATGAATCCCCTGTTTTCTCGCTGAGCCTTTAGCTGCTTTATTTATTTAGTTGGTTACCATAAACACCTAGCAAGATTTAGGCAGCAAAAGCCAAACAAAATAATCAGCAATGGGATTTGCCATAGAAGTCATTCACAGAAATGTTTACTTATTAGTCCCTTTAATAAAATGCTGTAGATTATTTAAAAGATTCTGGAGATGTCTCTCATTTTGTGTCTAAGGAGGAACTATTTTAGCAGTGCTGTTTCTCTGGCAGGCATACATGTTGGTGTCCTGTGGACACTCCTCTATATTATGAAGTGGAATTTAGAGATTGGAGTGTCCTGCACTGAGGCAGGCAAATAAATCCTAATGCATCCCATGATGAAGCAGAGCTCCTTAAGTTCCCTGAAAGCAGCAAAAGGTCCCGTAGTCCTGGACTGCATTTGGCATTTGGAGTAAAAGACAAGGACTTTAAGTGACTGTTTTGAACCTGCTAAGTCCCCCCTGTTGTGCCTTGTATCCACTTTCCATAGGCTGGCTGTGAGCCACTCAGTAAAACTGTGCAGTTTTTTATAATGAGTTGTTTTTGAGATAATGCTTTGCAGTTCTTTCCAAAGGGTGATGAGAAGTTCTTAAATTATGACTGAATGAAAAGAGGTGCACATCAGACCTTACTAATTAATGGCAGCAAAGTACAGATGAATAATGCTACATATCTACGTGATATGTGAAAAGCTTTATAATTGTTAACAAAGACCTGTCTATTTAGAAGACATCAAGAATAATGCTTATGCTTCAGAGCTTGATTCATAAACAGAATGAGCTATGTAGAAACAGCTGATTCTCCAGCCAGTTTTATCCAATTCCCTTCTGTGATGCAATTGTATTTTTACCCAGCCATAATTCTACAGAAGCACAAAATTCTGTTCCCTCCTCAGTCTTTCTACAAGGTGAAAAAACATTTTAAAATTATATATTCCACAGCACCAGGCAGGAAGTACCCAGTGAGACAGAGTAAAGACCAAAAACATTAGACTTTTTTTGTATGTATTATTTAAGCTAAATTGTGTCAGGAAAATCATAATTTTAAAAAAAGTAGCAAGAATTGCTGTAATACCTGATAAGGGCATTAGTTTCACTTTTTGTGGATTTTAGTTTGGAAGAAGGATATTTCTGTAATGGTTTGAATTACAGATAGCAATACTGAAACTTCTAAGAAACCGTGTACATTTTTCAAAAGCAAATCAGACTGAGTGTATCAAGCAAGATGCTATTATCTGATTCTATCAGTCAGTAGACTCCTTCATATCCTCATTGTAAGGTAATGATATGAGTATAACTGATAAAAGTAATTATTTCCCATTTGTTCTATTATAATTTAGAACAAACCATGGCATTTCTCATGTAAAACTGGGAGGAAATAACTTCTCACTATCCTAATCCAGTTATACAAAAAGGGCATTTGTTTAAGCCATTGATTAAGCCCACATCTTTTTTTTTTTTTCATTCTCTATGTCTCTTGCACTATTAAAACTGCCTTGTTGGCTTTTTTAATCCCCAAACCCAGTGCTGCTACAGCTAATAGCATTAATGTTTTCTGTGTGGAAAAAATGGGTAGATAAAAGCCTGTCATTGAACTGTCTGACATAATCTCTTGGCTTCAGCTTCTCTTAGAAAGTCATTAAGGGTAGTAGAAAGGTCAACACAATCCAGACATCCTCAGTCAAAGGCAGAAGGCCTGACATGAAATATTTACCTTTTGAGTATTTCTTCCTTTGAGGGATGTCAACAAAGGTAACAATAACAATTTCCATATATCGATCATTTAGACTTTCTTTACCGTAGCCATGGTAAAAATGTGATTTTGTAATTGTCACTAGTGTGAAGAGCAGTCATCTTTTTCCAAGACTTCTCACTTTTTCCTAAAAAGTGTTTTCCAGATCCCTGCTGGAAAGGGAAGGAATGACGAAAAGACTGAGCATGGCATCGAAGTATTAAATACACAACTGCATGGAAAAATTAACTTTTTTCCTACTGATCCTTTAACACCTTTATTTTGCTTGAGACAGTGGAATTTATGGCTTTGGATTCAGCCCAGCAGGTTTTGCTCATACAAGATCCTGTGTCAGAGAGCACTGTGCCTGAGCAGGGTGCATGACAGTGCATGCCAAGATTTATGCTAAGTGACATACATATTTTTCAGTGTTTCAGGGAAAGAATTATGATGAATTGTGTTTAGAACTTTTGGCTCTCTCCTGAAATACCATAAAGAACATTTTGCACTTTCTTGCCATTTCTTTTCTTCCCATAAAATACAGCAATATCTATGATCAAATGTAGAAAGAGATGATTATTTATGATCTTTTCCAGACCTAAGAATAAAAATAAATAAATCTGTATTTATTTTTATTAGAGAAAAGGACAGACTCTCCCTCATGACTAGTTTGGCACTAGCCAAACAACATTAAATGACCAGCTTCCCATAGAATTTGGAAATTACTTGCCAATTTCAAAATGCGGAGAAATGTATCACATCCTTCTGTTGCAGCATGGGGAGGAATGGTGTGGGTACACTGCAAACAGGGATATAAAATACCGTGTGACATAAAGTAATTCACAGGATGTATTCCTGTGAATATTTGATGGTGTCCCTGAGCCTGTTGTTACTCATTTCCATCTCAAGTGGGTACACTTTTATGTGAACATTTCCTGCTACTGCATCTTGAAATACTAAGCTAAGTTTACCACTCCCTTTTCACACATTGAACAAAGAAAAGGCTACAAATATAACTGAGTCAAGTATTGCATAAGTCCTGTACTGTTTACATCTAGCAAATAATGAACTGACACTCTTCAGTGCAAGTAGCCAGAATTTGTCAGATCCTGTCTCGTTATCTCTCTGTGTAGAGCCCAGGCAAGCCCAGCCTTGCTCCTCAGTGCTGGCATCCCTTAGTGCTGCTACAGTGAGAGGTGGTTGTTAATTAGCGTCTCCACGGACAAATACTATTTGCTAACAAATTCCTTGGTGACTGTTTTGGTGTTATCCAAACAAAATCTGTTTTGCTGGGCCAGTGCTTTGAATGTTTGTTGTTTTCCTTTGTCTGTAGATTGGGGAACCAAAGCTCGTGCTCTGCCTGGACTGCTCTGCAGAAACCAGGAGCAGTCAGAACTCTGAGAACACTGAAACCACTGAGGACAGGACTGAAAGCTACTACCAAGCATCAAACCCTCTGATTGCATACTATGAAAGCAAGACACAGTTATGCAAGGTAAATACTTGACCTTTTAAATTAAATTATTGCTTTTTACTTTAACTATATGAGCAGTATTTAGAAAACACCGACATGGCACCATTTATGTCCTGTTTCCACATTTTCCAGTTGTTCTCATTTTACAATTCCCTGGTTTGTTTGCAACTTCTGCAAACTTCTGAGTTCCACAGTACAGTTTGAAAGAATAAAATCACAGATTTATCCTTAGTCAGAGGATTTATCCTGAATCAATAACTCATCTGTATAGAATCTCTTATTTAAAATAAATTCTAGAACGCTTTTCTTTAAGTATTGGGATTTATTACTAAATAAGGGCTTTCAGAATAAGGATGAAAGATTATGTTAATCCAAAGCCCTTTAGTAAAATTTTCAAAACTGACAGTGTATATCCTGAAATAAAACAGGCCTTCATCCAAGAGAGATCTTTTGCTGGAATAAACAACATGGTTATATTAATTTCAGTGAATTGCCTCAGTTTACTCCTGCTCAGGATGTTATATATTCTTTTTATTCTATAATCAATACTTCAAGAGAAGCAAGAAAGAGTGCACTTAGCTGGCACATCTGTAGACTCATTTACGTCGGATTTGGGGAGTTTTTTCCTTTGTTTCTCTGCTCTGTCATGGCAAACTGTCCCTTATTTCAGTTACAGAAAGATCTAGTCCTACTGCTCTGTCTTGTCCTAAAAGAGAAAGAATCCAATAATAGTTTCTGAAAATATTATGGGATCTATTTTTTCTAGAGGCTGTAGCAAACATGAAAATCACCTACCCCAAAATTTTCTCCTTTGCAAAGATCCCAGAAGAGAAATGTGCAGCTAATTTATGCACCAATATCCTGACCTGAGGACAGGGTAAATGACACAATGCTGAGAAAAATGATACTCAAAGAAAGAGTTCTGATTTGTGGCCTTTCCTAATCCAAACAAATGCACATAAGACAAAGCCTAAGTGGCAGAAAAAAGTTCCTGCTTACTTTTCATCCTTAGGCTTACAAAGGATTATGTGGTTTATTTGTTTTTTCTTTGAGAAGCTATCTTGCCAAAACTGCAAGGATGTGCCTAACTAAGAATGCAGTACAATACACAATACACCAACACAGCACAATGCCAAGGAAAACAGAACTCTCTGTCTCAATATCCTATTCCAGGGAGCTGAGCCTACCACAGTGTTTCCCTTTTTGAAGCATCAGGGAAGTGACAGCCCCAAAGAGAGTGAAACTGCACTTAATACTTTCACACAGATTTTGCAGTCGTGGTCTGCCTCATTTCACTTGACAGGGACTTTCTTTGCCCTTCCTTAATGCTTCTGCTGCAAGTTCCTGCTCTGTCCCCTTTGTAATGGCAAAACATGCAGTCCTTTCTTGAAAGCTGGTAGCTCATTAGCTGCTTAAGGAACCTGCCAAATCTGTGGGTCACAGCTGGATATGTGATTTGCACTTGTACCATTAGTTTTGGGGAAGCTGATATTGTGTGTTTGCATGTTAGAAAATACCTGTGCTTTGCTTGAAGTGTCTACACTCCTTTTCTTACAGTGTCTGTGCATTGTCTGCACTTGCTTCTGGTGAATGTGGTGTTTGCCATAGATCCATCTTCCAGGTGGAACCATTGAATATGAAAGCTCTGTAAAATCAGCTTTATAAACATTATTGTGGAAAATGTATTTTAAAAGTATTTTAGTGGTGAATGTGTTTAAGCTACATGTATTGCAGAAAGTAGAGAGTCAAGGGAAAGTTTGCAATTCCCAGGGCATGGGGTTAGTTTCTCATTTATAGCAACAGATTTTACACGCAGCCAAGCACTGACATTAGCAGCCACTGGGTGTTCTCTGAATGATGAAAGGAAATTCAGGTGGAAAGCAGAAAAACTGACAATAATAACTTCTGATCAAATATATAAAATACAGCTTCTGATTGCTTTTTTTTTCTGCAGGCTAAGCTAAAATAGTCTTTGTTTTTGTTTTTTCTTTATTTGTAATATCATGCACACAGAAGACTGAGACTTTACCTAGAGGCAGTCTAACATGTTTAATATTTTTCTTTCCCATTTTAATTAAAACATCACATATTTTCAGTGTTGAGGATTTGTTCATTCCAAAGTGGGTTTATCACTCTCCAACACTGACCAAAGCTGGCTGAAGATGTTAGTGCTGCCATGGAGATGCTGATGCCTCTATAACTCTGTTTCCTGAAAGAACTGTGGTGTGTTTCCTATCCATTTCAGACAAAGCCACCAAAGTTAATTTACCAGGGTTGATTTGAAGACCCCTTAAAAGAAATTCTCATCCGTATTCATGGATTTATTTGAAATCACCCATGGACCTCCCTGTAACTGCAGATCAGAGGCTGGTGTACTCTTTTCCTTAGGCAAAGCTGGTGGGATTCAATAGCTTCAGTGAAGCAACGCCCTCCTGAAGGCACTATTTGGTGACCCAGATCAGTCTGTGATCCCAGGGTAAGCAGTGGCCAAAGCATCTGAAGAGAAGCTGTTTAAGAGAGGAAGAGAAGAAGAGTGTTAAAGAATCCTTGATTCCTGCCTAGGTTTGGTTTTTCAACAGAAGCAGCTCTTCAGTGAAAGGCCCACGTGAGCTCTATGTCCCTTGGGATTGCAGCAATGCACTTTCCTAAGCATGCAGAGGAGTGGGTGTTGAGATTCTAGAGGAATATTAGAGTCTAAATCCCAGTAACTTCCACAAAGATTTTGCATTAATCTTTTCTTGCCAGCTTACTGCAGCATGTGGCTAAGGGCCACTAAATTCTAGGTATTAATTGTGTAAGTGATCATGTTTTATAGGGCTTGACTGTGGCACCCAGCTCCACCTGGCCACAGAAAAGAAAATCAGAAATAGACTTGTGTAACAAGAAAATGGTGTTGGCATACTGGTGTAATTTAATTTCTCCAGTTTAAAATCTAAATTTAGGGTTGGACAAAATTTCCCGCAGACTGGGAACAGCACATGACAACAGTGGGATGTATTTAACTTGTCCTATCCACTCCAAAGGTTTTCAGTCCTGAAACAGGCTGATTAAATATGCAAATGTAAAATTCAGTCCTGGGCAGAAGGCCAGCAAAAGGTCTGGTGTGGGAATTAGATGTTGGCTGTGCACTCAGCAGAGGAGGAACTGATCTGTCACACCACATCAAGGTGTGGTGAGAGTACAGTGTCAAATGAGCTTTCTTACTCTGTGCACTGGAACACAGAATAAGAAATGCTTTACTCCTTTTGGAACAGGCTTTAAAGGTATGGTTGGATGGAGTCTGACAAACACAGTGCAGACAGAAAAACTCAGCTCTGACCTGGCTTGCTCTGCACTCATTGGGAATTCTCTTCCTGCTTTACTTGCACAGGAGAGAAAAAGGTATATGGTTGTAACAGCATTCCCACTTTAATTCTTGAGGATTTTACAACTTTCCCCAACCTGGAGTGATTGTGCATATGTGCACTCATAACTAACTAATATGAACTGGAACATTTTTCCATTCTGCTGACCTCTGAACAAGAACAGTGACCTCGTGAAGCTGACAAAACATCAGGACTATGTTGGATGTTTCCCTTTGGCCAAGATTCCCTCTTTGTGTTTCTGCTCAGCAGTGGAGGCTTGAGGCATGCATGGACTGAGGGTGAAGGCTGTGGGTGCAGATGAAACACCTGTGAACCTGACAGGAATAAACAACAGCAATCCTTCCAGCACCCTGCTGAGATGAAGAACTGTGTACATATTTGCAAGGGAAGATGAACTGACTGAAGAATGAAGGAAAAAGACAACAGTCTCCTCACTTTTCTGCTGAGGCATTAAGTTTCTAAATTGTGTTCTGGAAGGTAAAGTTGTGACTAACAAGTTAGAAATTTTTCAGATTTTTTTAATAAATTCATGTTTAGTTTAATATCCCATAATTTCTTTTGTAGTCAGTTCCAGAATACCCACCTGAGGAGTTGCAAGTGGCTGCTTTTCAGTAAAGAACTTGTACTGGAAATAAAAGGGCTGAAAGCACTGTTCTCAAAAACACTGCCTGCAAGCTGCCTGGTTCTGCCTGCTTCAGATAAATGACATTAAATGAAATGAAACAAAATTCATTATCGTAATAGTAAGCAGGTAGATACTGTTGGTTTTAAATCTATTTCTCAGTGAGTTCCAAGGCAGCTGGACAGGAAAGTGCATCTGAAAATTCAGTAGACACCTACTTGTGTTTTGACATGGTTAAATGTAAATCCCTTTGAATATATGGCTCTCTCTCAAGTAAGAAGAAAGGGAGGGGGGAAAAAAGATTGTTTTTAATATCTGACTCATCCTTTAAAGCTTTTTTGAAGTGACAGTATGTAGGAGGGTAGTAAGTAAAAGAGAAGAGCAATGCCTTGGTAGTCGAGCAAGACAGCCCCGATCCTACCTAGCTAACATAAGACACCTGGTAGGTGTCTTACATACAGGTTTCCTATTCAAAGTCTGAGGAAAAGGGAATGGGTATAACAAATAAGCCAAGCAGGACAGAGCAGAGGATTAAGGGTCCCAAAAACTTTGACTCTTTCAGATCATGTGCTATGAAAGCTTAGCCTACAAAATCCAACAAGAATTAATTTTTTCTGTGCTTATTTCCTTTCATTATTTTTTTTTCTCGGTGCTGTTCTACTATTTCTTTCTAAAATCACTTGCAGGTACATTTTCCATAACCATTATGAAAGAACATGTGACCATCCACCCTCTCCCAGCCTTCCACTTGTGAGCCTTCCCTTGCTGATGCCATTCTAAGTGCGTGTGGGGAGGGGCGACCTTTCCAGAAGGGGTAATCAATGGTAATAGTGAGAGCAGTTATGTGGTTTATTTCCATCTTTTGAAAGGTTCTCAGAGGCCCATTAACCCTGATAGATAAGGATGTGGGGAACAAAGGAACAAGTGATTCTCTATTCCCCCCCTGGTGCCTTGTGGCCCATTAGACGAGAAACTGATCTAAAAAGATACATCAGAAGCTTTAGCAGGGGATCACGGATAAAACACAGCAGAAAATGCATGTCTAATGTGAATAGGTCTTGGGGCAGTGTGTTTCAGTGGATTTACACAGCTTGATCCATTGCTGTGAGAGCCAGGTGCTGCACAGTCTCAGAGAGATTTTCTAACACACTCTAGTGACAAAGACATAAATGTTAGTGACAACACAGCTGAGCTTGCCTGACCTTCAGTACTGAATTCTACCTACTGAATTCATTCCAGAGTCTGTCCTCAGCCATCCTCTCTACAGACAGTCAGGTTCTTCTCAGTGGCAGTATATGTTTAGAGCTCTAAATTTCAAAACCCACAACAGAGGTAGATTTGTTGACAGAAAACTTAATTGGTTGATTTTAATGACAAAAGGAGCAATATTGTACTATAGGGATGGTTACCCCAGTAATTTTTCATATGAGCTCATTAAATTTCTCTGTATTTGAAGTTACCAAAAGCCATAGCTGCATTTCAAAACTGTGGAAAACTGTATATGGATCTTGTTTTACGAGAAGTCAGCCTTAAATAGCCTTGAAAACAGGCCTAATTTATGAGATTTGTTAGAATCTGAGGAAGAGAAGTACACAGTTTTTTCTCTGGAGCCGCTGAGAGTGTTGTTGAATTACTGTAGTACTAGATGTGAATTATTGGCACATTAAGTTAGTTTTGTGCCACAATGTTAAGTTAGTTTTATGAATTGGGCCTTTGTTATTTAGGAGGCCAGCATGGGAAGCACTGGGGCTGTCATTAGTCAGGCCCATCCCTATTTCATTGCTGCTGTTAGGAAGTCAGCATTCCAGCCCATCGTAAAGGGTGGCGGTTTCCATGCTTACAGAACTAATTCTTCATCACAGCTCCCTAGATCTAGACCTGAGTAGCAGCTCCTGTTCTGAAGAGGTCACCAAAAAGCCAGTGGCAATCAGCTGTGCTGATTAGTTTAGGTCAGTTACACAGTGCAGAAGTATTTATGAAGTAAAAAGATAATAATACATAGTAAGATGAGAGTTTTGAAATGGCTGTGGCCTTCACCCTGCATGCAGTATATTTCCTGTGGGATAGCCATATGAAAATAGTTGTCTTGGCAGTTGAGGCAGGCCAAACTAGGTGTTTTATAGCAGGTGAGATGGCAGCTACTGGTCTTGTTTTAGCTGGAGAAGACAGACATTTGGTTCAGAATGGTTCATCACTCCCATTTTCTTTTTCTCTTTGTAAGTACCCCCCACTTCTAAACACTTCTGAAAGAGGTGCAGCCCTTGTGGGAGAACTGCCCTTTCTAAGGCATCAGCGTGTGCCTGCCTCTGCCTCAGCTCTACAAAAAGCAGCTGCAGCAGCATGAGGGGCAGTGAGGGGGCCTGCGGGGTGGCCAGGGTGCCGAGGGCAGCTCAGCTCCCACTGTCACACACGCTTGCAGTGGGACCGAGGGGACAGGGCCCAGGCAGGCACAGCTCCTGAAGGCTGGCCTGGCTGGGTACCCAGAGCTGGAGCTCTGGCTGTGGAAGAGGCTGGTGAGATGTGCCAGCACTTCCCACAGGATGCAACGGGGACCGAACTTCGCAGCATCTGCGGGTGCCACCGAGAGCGAAACCCAGGCTCTGGAGAGAGCCTCCAGTCCCTGCTGGAGCTCTGCAAGGAGCAGCTGCTGACTCCCACACAACTCAGCACCAAAGGACTTAGATGTACATGGACTGCAGTCAGCTGTACAGGAGCTGGCTGCAAGACAACATCATCTCTGAGCAGAATTTCTTGGCCTATTTAAAAATACATTTATTTGAACATGAAACTCCTTTAATTCTCCTGCAGACCAGAGATGGCAGAAAGTATTATAGGCAGTGATATCCCCTTCAAACACTACAATTGCCTGGCTTTCTTGTCAGCAACGTGGAGATGAAAATGCAGCAGTTCAGAAAAAGATCCCTTCACAAAGTTGTCATGGGTCCGTTTGATCTTGTGCAAGCATGAAAGACTAAGCATGGAGAAGCAGAGAAGAATCTTGCTTTTGAGTAAAGACCAAATATCTCAGCAGGCATTTGAGGAAAGGAATAATCAGCAGAAGCATCTGCATGGAGTACACAGCCATTGTGAAAGCTGCTTCTGTCACTGCTGTGAGGGCTGAAGACAGCTCTCCTTCCTCAGCTTGGGATGGTCATGAAACTGCTCAGAACAGCTCAGTTCTGCCTCATGTTTTCCAGGGAACACAGACAAATAATTCTGGCTGCAAGTGTCATTCCTCTGTGCTGAAATGCAGCTCTCATCTTCAGCACAGGAAAGTAAATTCATCTTGTTTTTGTGAAGTACAGTGAAATGAAAAATAGCTTGGTCAGAAAACTGAATCTTTGGGGTGTTCAAGAACAAAATTGCTTCAATGAAAGTTAAGTTTTCATACCACAAAAGCAGTGCCCTTCTAAAAGATAGGTGCAAGGATGTCATAAAACCAGAACCAATTCACCAAGTTTCCAAATACAAATGCACTTGAATACATTGATTTGCTAAGTTACTGTGGAGTGGTCCAAAACCCAGAGTGCTTCAGAAGGACCTCACCTGGTTGGAGTGATGGACAGAGTCCTTGGCAACTGCTCTGCATCAAAGGTGTAACTTTACCTTAAAACATGAGTACTTAAAGCTCCCTCACTTGACTGCTGTGCTTTGCTACAGACAATCCAGCCTGCAGAACCCTCTTACAGAAATCTGTGGAAACAAAATGAATAATCTGGTTTATTAAGCTGTTCCTCTACATTAGAATGCTTCTACCACGAAGCAGAACAACTTCACTTTTATACGAGACCAGTTTTTTGTTGCAGTGTTTAGATTCTGAGATAAATCTTTGTAACTTAATCAAAACTGGTTTTTTTGTGCTTCACAGGTTGATGCAGAAGGAACACAGGAGGATGTTTTCCTGGAAATCTGCAAGACAATTGACTCTTTTCTGAAAAAGGAAGAGGCAGCATTTTTTTCACCAGAAATGCAGTAATGGTGTGTGAGGTGTGTACACAGCCTTGCCCACATGCACCCCACAGCCATGATTTGCTGGTCAAAGCAGAGCTGCTCCCTTGAGAGGTACCTGGAATGTGTGCACGTGGCATTACTCTAGATGAAATCTTAGTTCTGCAAGTACACTCAACAGAAAGTGGTCTGTATGCTAACCCCACTCTGGGAACTCTGTAACATTTTGTTTTCTTGGGTGTTTGCTCTTCATGGGCTAAAAGCAGGAAGGTGAGCAGCAGCTCTGGTTTTGTATTTCATGGTCACACACATTCCATGGGAAACAGGGCAGTGCCTGGCCAGCAGGGAGCTCTCCACCCACCCCAGTCGCTGTCCAGCAGACTGACATTAGGGTTATTGCATACAAGTTTCCCACTATTTTCTTTTTATTAACAGTATTAATTTTTGTGGTGTCACTTAGCTTGTTCTTGGGCTTTAGTGCCTGAAACCTGTCCTCTGTAACATGCAGCTCTAAGAGAGCTGGAATTAGTCAAGCTGCAAGTTAAAATAACCTTTTCACACGTCCCCAGAACACTGTTGCAAGGAGAAAAACTCATTGAAGATACAGCTGAATGTTGTGGAAGTCTGTCAACCCCTTATTGGGAAGCAGACACCATTTTTGAGACAGTCTTGTCTTCTGCTGGGAATGTTATGATTTTACAACTGACTTCCCAGTTTTGTGAGCTGAGAATGATTATTGTATTGTATAGTTAAATGTGCAATCCAGTAATGATCCATATTAACAGCACTTGTGCTATAGCTATTAAAGTCCATATGTAAAGTTGGTTATGAGCCAGAACATCTCATGTCATCTTTGAATTTCACTTTGGAAGTATTTCAAATGCAAAATTCAGATCATCATCTGTTGTCTTGTACTGGCATTGCCAAAACTTGGGAAGGTGTGGTGGGGTGGGAAACCAAAAAAAAACCCAGGAAAATGTCAGGGATTATTTGATTCGTATTGCTTGCACCTCTAGTAAGCCATTTATCTGTAATCTGCAAAAAAGTCTGTAAAAGTGCTGTTGTATCTCCATTAGGTTAACTAAAATATTGTGGAGTTTCTTTGGTAATACTGACAGCTAAACAAAAGCTTGTTTGACATTGCTGTAAAGTAACTGCATCCTCTTACTGGGACTACTGGATGAATTTACAGTGAAAGTGGGTTGCATGATTGCTTGTACTGTCAAAGGTGTACTTTATGCAGCAGATTTGCATTTTTAAAGTTACCTTTCTTGTAATGAAGACATAATACAAATAAAACATGTACAAAAATGAGGAGTAATGATTTCTGTTACAGTATATGTGGGTTTAATCCTTTTCAAAGCACAGTACATGACTTGAAAATATAGCTCAAATCAGCATGCTTACAGAGTATGTCCTTTTTCCAATCAGGGCAGATTCTTCTGTTTCCTTTTCTTCCTTAGCATTTGCCCTGTAGATGCTAATTCAATTATCTTTTAGGGTGTTTTACGTATGTTCTTATCCTTCACATCATGGATGTTCCTTCTTCCCTGGGTCCTTCTATAGCCTACATTTTACCTCTGGTGCTCTGGAAGTGCTTCTCCAGCTCCAGCCACGCCATTGAGCAGCAGCAGCAGCGCCTGCAGTACCACAGCAGCTCCCAGGGCAGCTCTGGCCCTGACACACCAGCAGCTGCTGCTGCTTCTTTTTACAACAGAACACTCTGCAGTTACCACAAAGTTGCAAATTCATCTGGGTAGGTTTTCTGGAGTATTTTCTGTGATATTTAATTACAGAAAAAGTTATAAAGTGTGGAGTCTCACACTTGTGCAGGATGGGAACAAAGGCAACATACAGCTGCTATTTTGTTGGGGTTTTTAAAATCAAATTACAAAAATTATTTACCATACACTTTCAGTTTAATTTTTATTTCTGCTTCTTCTGTCTTTTCTGTGTAAAAAACAACAAAAAAAAATCATCCCATGCTTGATTTGGTGTTATGTGCATTAGATACCTATTTGCATACATTCATAATGTATGCAGGAGCAATAGCTGTATATGCATGCATAGGGAAACATTAATATTTATACATATTCAATAAAATAGGACTTATCCAAGACACTCTTGAGTGATTCAGACTTGAAATTATCCTTTGGCTTCCAACCTTGTTCCAAGGTTACCAAGGATCTTTTGTTCTTTCCAAGCTATCCTAAACTGATGACTATTTTCTCTAATTTACTTTTCTTACTTTATTCCCATTATTTTTTCAGGATATAAACAGAAAATGAATGTAACCACAGATCCTCTTCCTGATAATACACCTTCACCAACTCTAGTTTCCTATAAAGACCATGGATGATGTGGAAAGCATATTTTTATGGTCTTAGAAAGCCTTTCAGAGCAGTATCTTTTTCAATTAAAACTAAAATACATCATGTGAGTTTTGTGTTGTGTTTTTTTAAGGTTTATTAAATTTATCTAAGTATATGAGATACATAAGATATGCTTACATATCATACTTGCTCAGTGTTTTAGTAACTGTACTGTATTACTTTCTAAATAGATTAAATGCCTACATTCTTTTTTCCTGAAGCAAAAAATAGCTACACCTAAAGTTACTGCAAAAATACTGACCAATCTGTAATTAAAGTTACTAGGTGCAGCCAGCCAATTATCCTTCCTATTGCCATCTTTTGAAGTCAAATTAGTTTGTTTTCTAGCTAATTGCTCTGAGTATTCTAGCTTCAAAGCAACTGGAAGTCTTACTACAGTTATAAAATAATCAAGTGTTTCTGAATCACAAGCTATACATTTCAATAAAAAATATATTAAGTAAAATATGTCACAATAATTACAAAGCTTCTCAGACAATGGTATACACTGTACCAAGGCTACTAAAATCTGGATTTTCTGTGGTCTGACAAGGAAGTCTGTGAGTGAGGAAGGAGAGAACTGGAATGCTAATCCTGCCGGGGCGGCAGAGGCGGCGCTGGGTGACCGATCCAAGGGTCCTGTCCAAACTTTCCATCTTGATTAAAGAGTCAGAACTACACAGAAAGGAAGTCACAGCAAGCATTCTATATAATAAACAGACTGTATCCACATAGTTTATTTCTCACAGTTCTCCTGACAATTGAACATTATTTAAGAACATACTGTATACACAGATAAGAAGAAACATACAAAATGTTTTAAATGATGCACAACAAAATCCAGCAGTATAAAAGAATGCATGTGAACCCTTGCTCACTGCTCAGGCTAAATTTAATCACTGTTTAAATAGTAATAAAAATACAATCTTTCATGGATCTTGTGCAGACTACAAAAGAGGAAAAATTATTACCATATATATGATTTATATTAGGCAGTTTTCTTTGATGAGTTGCACTAACAACTCCAAATACAGAGGCAGAAGGCTGTGTATTTTATTTTAAAGGAGTAAATGTTGAGTATTAGAGACTTTACACAGTTACTAGCACTGGCACTTTTCACCATATTTTGTACACATCACATGATCATCTTATATAACATTACATTTAAAAAATATATCTGAGTGACAATTTTATAACATTCACACACCATGAGCTGGTTAAGGAAGCAATGCCACAGTTGCCCCCTGTAGTGCTTCACTGTTGGTAAATAGAGTTCATTGTGGTTTAAAAAAAAATTTTAAAAATTGAAGGTCAACATGATTAAGCAGCTCCGATTTAATAAAGGCCCGTAGCCAACCATTGCTGAGACAGTGAGTATTTTTAGAGTACAGCCTAGAAGCAAACACTGTCATTGGTTAAAACCTTGCCTAAAGAAGTCAGTTACTGTGCTGAAAACTATTTCACAACAAAACTGCAAGCTACTAAACTGTTTTTATATAAATACTTCATCTCCTCTGGATCTCATTATAACCAAGTTCTTCAAAGCCTTTGGAATATACTCTATCTTTAATGTGTGCTCTCATTTCTGGCTCACCCTTTTGTATGTGTTTCTTTTGTTTAGATTCACCACCTAAAAGTGACTAATGTGGTGAAAGAAAAGTCTCCCAGTGAAACCTTCTGCACACTAGGAATGTTCAGCTGCTGTTCAGTGATCTAGAACCATGACAGCTCAAAGCTGTAGTTTGACAAGTACACCCAGGAAGCTGTCATGCTGTGAGTGACATTTCAGGGAAAGCAGAGTCTTTCCAAAATGTGCACAGAATTAACAATGGTGCCATTGTTATTTTTCAAAGAGGATAGTAAACCCAAGTTGGTAGATCTGCTTCCCATGTCATCTATTTGCTGGAAAGTAGTTTGGGTCAAGATAATTGTAACTGGTGCCCTGGGACATGCAGTAGTCTCTGTCTAAAAATGTCTCTGCTCTGTAAATAGGTTCTAACTGGTGATCTTCCTTATGAATCTCTGTTTCATGCAGACTGCAAGGGAAAGAAAAAGATAACAGTTTAAAAGTCAAATACTTTCCTTATATTTAACTTTCAGAAACAGTGATCATATTAACAGATTCAAACCAAATTGCATAGCAGTTCATTCATAAAGTATAATTCCCCCCCATTTAACTGTACCAAACCTATCTGTCCACTGTATTAAAAAAAAAAAATTATACATCCAGAATCTGCTTACAAAATGTATCTCCCACAAAGAGATGCTAAATCATCTTCCACTTTCTTCAACACAGGATACGTGTCCTGTGCTGGAGCAAAGATTTCCACCCTACATAGCAATTCTGCAGCAGAGAGATTCAATCTAATGATAAATAGCAAATAGAGGCACAGGCTGCTCACCAGTCAGAACACGAATCACAGAAATCCAAGGACATTTCTTGAGGGCAGTCTTGGCAGTGCCACCGAACACCCTGGATAGGTTCAATCCCGCAGTTGTCACACTGTGGAGCAGATGGAAGAGCACTGAGAGAGCAGCAGCTGGAGGCAGCACTTCCATGCTAACAGTGCACACCAATTCACCCCAAGGGAATCTCTGGGTGTCCCTGTGCCACTGCCAGCCCCCACAGCTGAATCCTCCTCATCACGTGGATAAAGAAATCCTTATTCTCCAGGAGACGCCCTCCAGAGCCCTGAAGATCCATCAAGCTTTGGCCTTGCTTCCCACTCCCCAAAGGCTCCACCTTGGCATCACCCTGCTTGAGAAAAGCAGCCCAGCCCTGCCTGCAGACACTCAGCCTCAGGTGGCTGCAAGAACTGCTGTGACACAGCACAAGGACAGGATGTTTCACACAAGCCCAGCCACATGGAATGTCAGCCTTTCCATGGCAGAGGGAAGCAGTATGACCCGACCAGGAGAGCTTGTTGGGCTGCTGGGGGCTGTGAATCAGGGCACAACAGAGCACACTGATGCCCTTTCCAGCTCAGGAAATGTAGTAACACATCACAGGTGGGCTGGAACTAAAAGCCAGATGGCCAGGAAGGAAGTGGAATAACATGTTCAGAGAAGGAAACAGAGGTCTGGAACTAAAACTGAGCAAGGTGACAAGAACTGATCCCAAGTGCAAGAGTGTGGTGTGAAGAGATAAAACACAAAGTAAAAACAAAACATGAAAGACTAGATGAAAAATTCACAGTGGTACAGAAGAGGGACAGAAATGCAAAAGTATTTGATCAAAAACAAGAAACCAGGAAAATGGGACTTGCAGGCAAGGAGAACTTTTAAAAAACCTAAACTACGTGGAGTGCTGCAGAGACAGGACTGAAAAGGAAAACAAAATGTGGGACACAAGGCTGTGCTCCCATAGCTCATCCTCTTTCAGAACCTGAATGGCTGTCTCAGCATCTCTGGAACCCACTGGCACAGCAGCTGCTCCTGCCACCACCGAGACTCTCAGGGTCACAAACACCTCACACACAGCCCTGCCACAGCTGCAGCCCTTCTGTCCACAGATGGCTTTTGAGTGTGAGGGCTGAGAATGAGGAGGGACTAAGCACACCAAGAGCTGTTCTTTGAAAATACCAAGTTCAGAACAATGCTACAACTGAAAAATTTGCTCCAGTTATCTGAAGTTGAGAACCAAGACAGTGGAAAGCCTTGACCTTAATTTTTGTGCTCCAGCTCCCCTTTGACCTGTGAAACAGAAATAATACTATGCCCTTCATTTTTAATGAAGAAAAGAAGTATTTGCAAATTGCTTGGATATTATAGCAGTGAAAGCCATAAAAAGCCCACAAGGGATTCAATAATTCAATGTTCAAAGCACAGGTTGAATAATGTGTAGTAAATGAGGCCAAAGGCTGTGCAGAACCAAAACTGCTCTCAATGGCTGCTTATTAGGTGAGGTCTGCCCAGCTCACAGACTGAATTTCCTGAGGGAAAACAGCCCATAATCACCTGATTTCTCAGCTTACTATAATGCATAATACAATCAAACTCAAATGCAAAGAAACTTTCAAACTTCAAATGCTTGACACTGTGTAATGTCAATTTACTTCTCAGGATAATTTTGTGTAGAAAAAGCAGTTTGTTAAAGTCTGGTCTGCCTGATTGAAGTTTAAAATTTTGGGGGGAAGAAAATTATTATTTTTAATAATATTATTTTAAAAATCCCCATGAAATGAAATACCAAACATACCATGCCAACTAAAACCAACAAAAATAAGAAGCACCTTGGTGCTCTAATAACTTAAATCTGTCAGAATCAAATGAGAAGGCTGTCTTAATTTTACAGTCAATTTGAACTGAACCCTGAACTAAAATAAATCCATCTCCATAACACTAAATTAGAAAACCTGTTCCAATAGTTACAGTAACCAGTTAGACACAAAATCCCTTGCAAAATATAAAATAAGATTTCCAGACTGCCCTTTCTTTCATGTTGTCTATTAATGGTTGGTTGTTGCTCGGACAACACATCAGTTTAACTTCATGGTTTTTTCCTTAATTTTACATAAATATTGTTTTATTTAAAAAATTATTAATCTATTACTCTTATCCAAAATATCTGTCCCTTCTTTGGCCTCAGGTGGAGGCAAAATTACTCCAAATTCATAATCACAAAATTATGATTAATAAATGACTATCAAAACAGAATGTAGTGTCAAATGGAATTCTATCTTGATTCAACAAGGCTCTAATACAAGCTGTATTTTCATGATGTGGTGAGAAAAAGACAGCATGTTTATTCATTTCCATATAACATCAGCATTCAGTGAAAGCTGAGCTACCAGAAAGACTGAATTACGTGGGCTAATTTTCTTAAAGAAAATGAGGGAAAACAGACTCAGTGAACAAGAACTAAGGAACCAAACTTGCTATAATCAACGAAATCTTTTCAGGAAATTCAAACCACATTCTCTTGGAAAACTTCTACATTCCACTGAGCAACAGAAGACCATCTCTGTCACTCACCTTAAATCCCACGTGCTGCACAAATCCACTTTCTGCATGCATCTGCTGGAGTTTCTGTTTCTTCAATTTTTTAAACTCTAACAGTTCTTTGTATTCAGGTAACTCTCGATAAGTTACTGGAATACTCTCTTCATCCTGTTCAATGTAAAAAAAACCCAGAAAAATATTCTTACTTCAGAATACAGTAACTAGTAAGACAGGAATTTGTTCCATAAATCACTATGTATGATTAATAGTGTTTAAGAAAATGATGGCATTATTCTAACATATTAGAAAAATATTTTTAAAACCTAACACCCATATCCAGTATTAACTTCTCACCTTTACTGGTAAGAATAAAATGCAATGAGAGGCACCATGCATGACTGAAAGAGCAGAACTCAGTTATCCAATTCCCTTTATCTCTTTACTGTCTCTTAACAGCTTATAAAAACAGATTGCTATTTTTTCATAAATTATGAAGCAGTTTGTCTCCCTGCAGGCCAGTGCAGACATCTTTGCCAGAGAGGTACAACAAATGGTTCTCTCTTTTTCAAAGACATGGAAATTCTGTTTTTTCTCACACAGTTTCCTTCAACAAAGCTTGAGGAACTGCTAAGAAAGGACAGAAGCTCTAATTCTAGTTCAGATGCTCATTTCAAGGTAATGATTTTATTATAGCAGTTGTAGTTGCTAGATGTCACCCATTTTCAAAGATGACAATTCTTTAGTGATGTAGAGCATTTTTCACATCCTACACTGACAGGAACCTTCAGGGAGGGAAAACAACTACAACTACAAGATAAGAGATTAAAATTCTTCTAATGCAGCCTGAATGTGTAATTTCCATTTCTTTTTATGAATCTGTGAAGATAGAAGATTCTGTATTATTTAGTAAGTTTATTAAAGGAAGTGAGGGAAAGAAGCTTTACTACATTTCTGAAAGGCCTTATCAATTATTTAATTGCAATTATGAACCTATGTAAAGGACTAGACTGTAAACTTCAGAATGGCTAAATGACACAATTCAGTTGTGTAGTGATAAGCTACATTTTCTTTAATATAAAAAAGGGATTCACCTTCCACGCAAATCTCCAAAGTTTTTCTGAGAAAAACTGCCAGTCACAAAATAACTCTATACTGCATAAAGTGTGCTTTAATAGCTTCCTGTGTGGACAATTCATTCCGGAATAGTAAATAGCTGTGTTCTAGAATAATTAGACTACTCACAAAATTAAGAAATCATAAGTGAAAAGGAATTGACCTCTGTTAGCAATAGTGGGTCTTCACTTGAAAATAACTTGTTTATACCAAAATATAATTTTCAGGAATAGTTATGACTGGTAATAATCAGGCAAATCTTTTTGTCTTTACACAGGAAAAGCATGTGATAATTCCACTATGAAATCAAAGAAAACATTTCTTTCCTGCTACACTGTTTTTCTTCTGCTAAATGACACAAAGTATTTTTCTCCAAGATAGCAACTGTCACTAAGAGATCTGACTTTCAACACTAGAACAGAATCCTGTGCATTCATCTTGAATATAGTTTACAATCCCTTTTTGCTTCCAAACTGCTATTATTTTTCACTGATTGTGGGGATCTTTTGGGTGACTGAGCTCCCCTGTGTCTTTCTACCTTACTGAAAGCCAGAACTGGATCTATCTAGAAATATTACTCTAATGAAGGAAGAAAAGATTATGCCAAGTTAAAATAATGCCACATGACCACTATTATCACTGCTATGGTGCTCTCACTAATTATGAGTTAGGGCACCACAGCTAAACCAAAATGCTTCAGGAAACTGCTCAGAACAATTATAAAATCTATATTTAAAACCAATACAGAACAAAACCATGTTAGCTCAAAAGCAGTTGCACTGCATCTCTTCCAATATGCATTTTACTTTCCAGGCCTCTTAAGATTCTTATTGGAATATGCAAAGTTATCAGGAATGGCTGTGGATGAGCTGGAAGACCATCACAGAGAGAACACAGAAAATGAGCACAGATGGGATTTAATACTAGGAAATAGGTAAGAAAACGTGATGCTTAAGGAAGACTATGCAGTGCAGGTAAAAAGTCAGGAAGAAAATGAATGGACTGACAGTAGGTGGCCTCAATACTTGTGTTATGCAACAAGGTTTTCACACACAAGATGTCACTAGGCTCACCAAAAAAAATACAGAATTAACTAGTCAGGTTCTTCAGTCTAAAGAAAACAGGAAAACCACAGTGATTCACACCAGCTGTGAAACTTGCCAAGCTCCCAAGCAGTAGGCTATAGTCCCTCTATGATTCTGTATGGAAATGGGAACAACATATGTCTAAATTCCTGTGGTATTATTGCATGGGATAAATTAGGAAAGTAGTACACTCCATGATGCAGCAATTCACTGGGTTAGGATGTCAACTAGAATCTGCCTCTAAGAATACATAAATATGCTTGTTGATTGCCAATTCACTCTGTTAGTTCACACTTTAAAGTGGATTTTACAAAATTCATAATTAATTCAGCTAGTAGAAGATTAAAAAAAAAACAGTGACGCCAATAGCATTTGAATTTTACCAGGGCTGTATGTAACCTTTCTAAAACACATCTTTAACCAGAATCCCAACTATATCATCTACATGATTTTCAAGCCTCTCTCATACCAGATCACTTACTAAAAATATGCAACTAGAACTTCTTCGAGACATTTCAGGACAAAACTGTTTATGACTTGCAGACTTCCTTCCTGATTTGGTCTAAATTCTTTGCTGTCAGAGGCTGTTACATTAATAATGTATTTATAATTCAAAACGGCTCATGATCTTACTACAATTTATTACTTCCTTGATGATATTTTATGGTGAAGAGGCCTTATCTATTAAACACTAAACAAGGTCAAAGTGACAGCAAGCAAGACATTCTCTGACTAATTAAATGACATACCGATACTTCCTCTTCTGCTGCAGTGTCCATATGGCTGTGAAAACTGCATCTGTCATCATCTTCATCCATATAAACTGGAGGTTCATGAGATGTCATGAAAGTTGAAGGTTTGAAAAGATGTTTATTTAAAGGATGTTGCCGTCTACTTGATGACTACAGTGAAAAAATGGCATATTTTTAAAAACACTCATTGGCTATTATTGAAATAATCCTCATTGATAAAACTCTGCCTGGAATTTGTTCTTTCACACTAAATGATCTATGATGCTTCCAAATACTTATATTTATATCTCTGTATCATGGCCTCCCACAGCTGCAGTGCTTCTCCCCCACAACAAGTGGAATCCAATGAGCAGTGCAGTACTTTGGCAAAAATGCAGCAAAGAAAGAGCCCTTACCATAAACCCCGACCATCTAAACAGGTGAGACTGACAGCAAAACAAAGTAAGGCTGTTACAATTTTGAAGACTGAGGACCAGAGAGCAAAAATAGTCAAAAACTTCCCACAGCATGTGAGATGAAGCAAGGAAGTAATTTTGCACAGGTCCAAGAGCCACAAGGTCCATGCTTGACACTCATCAACTTCTTCCACTTGTACCTCAGAAAAAACCCCAGTCTAGACTTATTGTCCCAGTGCAGGAGAGATAAAGCAATTCATTGCAATAAAAAGAGGATTCTAAGAGTTAGAAAGAACTGCTCCCTAAAGATTTTCCTTGCAACTGCATGAAAAAGGAACATAAAAAACATCAGGTGAAATAAATTACTCCATTAGTGCACATCTAGAAACTTTCAACTTTAATGCTGTCTGAAGCTGTAGAATGATGCCAGTTTTAAAGGAGGTTACTTAAAGGCACTCAGCCCCTATTACTTATTCCCCAGTGGGAGAATATTAGATATCAAAAAGAAGAATTTGGGGTGAATGAAACTGACTCAACCCCTTACTTAGCTGCTTTCCAGACTAGCATTTTGACATTTAATGTCAAAACTTACATTCCTCAACTTAAAAAACCCTACAGTGTGAATCAAAAACGTAAACATGAAAAGTGTTTTTTCTAACAATCATAAAAGTGAGGATTGTTTCACATAGTGCCTAGCTGCTCATACAGCTAAAGCAAAAGGAATACTTGCAATAGTTAGTACTTTCTCCTTTTTTAGCAAGAGCTTTTATCCCAAAAGTTTTCTGTATCAGTTACAAACTGTAATATTATAGTACAACCCGTTATCTCTTTAGAGGGATGTAGCATTATTTTACAGTTGTGCAAAGTTTAAAAAGAGAAGGCACAGATGACACCACTGATTTAGATGGAATGCATCTATGCAGACAGAAGCACCAGGAGGAACTGAGATTAGCTCTGCTCGGTCTTAATGGAAGAGATGAGTCTGTAGTAACAACTGGAAGGTGGTACCTCTGATCTGAAGAGCTACTATAGTGCAAAACCAACAATTTCTTCTAAGACTAACCTACTATATCTCTTGTGTTGGACTTTTCCAATTTCTACCTTATGATCACCAGCTACCTGTGTTTTGGTGCTTTTATGACTTCCCTTAAGATTTCCAACCTCTGTAAAATACGTTCATGTATAGATGGCATTTCAGGCTGAGCTGACAGAGTGATTTACATGTTCTGTTAACAGAAAACAGATCTGCATTCAATACTAGATCTGGAATCAGGAAAGGAAAACTCTGCCTATGCTTATACAGCAGCACTGCAATGCATAACAGTGCTGTGACCTACAAATTAAACTCAGGATTTGAATTTGCCTCCTTTGGTGAAGAATGAACTAAAATATTACTTAAAAGCAGACAGTTAAAGATCATTTTCCCTGTAGGAAATATATCTCTACATTAGGCTTAAAAGCAGGTGCACTAATGCTATTATGTAAGGATTAAATTGAAAATGATAAGCCATGATTGAAGAACTGAATACTAGTCGTAAGTCTCTGATCCAGCTTTATTTTCACCAGTAGTACGTAATGGTTATACAGGAAAATGAGCTGATGCATCCTGCTTAATTTCCAGTATCATTAGTTAGAATGATAGACTCACATCATATGAATAGATATACAAAGTTAACTTCAACAAAATGTTCAAAAAGTGAGCAGGCTTCTAACCTCTCCAGTAAGTACTTTAAAAAAGCATATTGAACAATCCCTGTGGAAAAAAATGCAAGTATTTTCTTGTGAAGCATCCCTTTTGACACAAATCTTTACATTACAGATGTCTATGTTTCTTATTTTCCCATGGGTATGTGCTTTAAGTATTAGCATCCAGTTTTCAAACTTCTATTACTGGCAATAAAGCAGATACACTGCAGTTACAGTTACTAAATATCAAAATTAGGACAGGCGTGACACAGGCTTCCAACAGCCCCTGCATTTCCTTTCTGCCACATCATACCTCCACTGGAGACCTGGGAGTAACTAAGCTGGCATGGTGCTGTCAGTCTGTGCTCTAAGCACACAGCTCTATCAGCAGGCTGAGAGCTCAATTTCTCCACATACACTATTCCACTTTTTCATGTTTTATTTCTTACACGGGATACAAATATAACACAGGGATGCTGCTTAATATAAACCAGGGCAGAATGACCTTACTCTTGTGACCTGGCAATAAGGATGTGAATCACACTGCTAAAACTGACCTAAATATTGGGTATCTTCTAGATAGAAACCTAAGAAAAATGTGCATGATGGGACTATTACTCTTGCCATGTGAGATTGTTAAGAATTTCAGAGAAAACGTGTTTTGCTCTTGATTGTACTGGCTTTGTCCACAGTGTGATCACTGTTCAAATTAGTGAAAAATACAGTTAAAATGTCCCACATCGACTGATTAAGTACTCCAAATGTTTATCAAATACAGTGATCTGCTGCCTGACAACATTACACACATTCTGTAATGAAGGTCTTTCCAAACAAAATTAACAGGAAAGAACAAAAGGCGTGACCAAGGTAACTGTAAGTGGTAGAGTGACATAAAGAACTGAATTTTCAACACCTGTTGAAATCAGCCACACAGTATTATTATACTACAGAAATTAACCCCAACTGTTTAAGTAATTTGGAATTCTGACAGATAATCTCTACAGTATTTAAGGTATCACTGTTTCCAGCTGGCTTTTTGGTTCTTCTGCCAGAAAGCACTTTTCCAATAGACAAAGTGGCAGACAGTCATGTCTGCACCCTCATTGCCTCTGTTTATAGAGCACAATAGTAGATTAAAACCCTGGTGAAAGTAAAATGGTATTACCATGGTTGATGGCAAACTGGAAAGGCTCCAATACAAGCACTTACTGTTTGCAGTAACTTCAGAGAATATGAGGAGACAACTAAGGGTGTGTACCACTTTAAAACATTACACACCAAATGTGGTAGATCTTTTTATCAACCCATGGACAGCAACTTTTGTTTCTAACCTTGCAAAGAACTAAGTCTGCAGGTTTGCCTTTTTGTAGAATCAATGGAAAGTTTACTCTATTATTTATTAGAAAATATCATGGATACCTGGATGCAAACCAGTAATGTTACTTCACAAAATGCCACTGTAAGGGGTTTGGAAGAAGTTTTGTAAATACTGAGTAAACAAAAAAACCCTCTCAAACCCAATAAATAAAATGTCCATGAAACTTGAGATGGCTCTCTTTTACTGTCTATAGACCTTATTAGTACCCAAGAGCACCTTGAAGATCATTTAAATCAAAATATGTGACTGATCTGCACAGAAATTTAGTCTTTGCTTTGGTAAATTAAGATTTTTTGGAACCGTATTTTTTCTCATCCATTCCAAGATCAGAAAAGCACTGTATTTTAATGGACACTTTGGCCTTAAGCCTATGCTGAGCTAATGCAGCATGCTCAGTTATACATAATTTTCTATGGTTTTATTAATAAGAAGAGTATGGTTCAGTATGGATTACAAGGCTCCTTATCTTTTCCCAAGAGGGTTTTCATTATCACTTCCTGATCGGTTATAGTAAACTTAAAAATGAGGAAGAAGTACCCCAAGACCATTATTCTACCCTGCCTGTTCAGCTGTAACCTAAACATTCCATCTTCCCAAGAGCTGTCACTGTGAAACCAGAATTAACATCCAATCCACTCCATAGTGCTACTGGCAAATGGATTACCTCATTTTGCAACTTCATTAATCTATTAAAAGTATTACTGATTCCAACTCAACTTCCACATAAATGCAAACAGAAAAACAGGATTCTGTAATATTGTCTCACCTTTTTGGAATATAAATATAAGTTTGGTGTTCTTCCTGGAACTGGAATACCAGCTTTAGTCAGTTTAATAAAATATTTCTGCACTCTACTGGCAACCTAGAAAAAACCAACATGCAACAACTCAATGTCAAATGAAATGTCTTCAAAGTTTTGCCAGGGTTGTTACATTGATTTAGAACAACAGGAAAAGAAACCTCTGGATTCTACTTTGCAACAACTACTCTAACTGCTACATATCTTGCAGTGCTGCATTTGTACTATTTCCAGATGTTTTGACAGCTTTCAGAGAAAAAAATTACCCTTCTTTAAAAATACGAAGAAGATCCTGCAAAAACTGTGATAGAAAGAACTTTAGTAGTTTACTTCCTGCTGCAGCTAAACTTCTTCTTAGCAATGCCAACTATGTTATCCATGGTTAGCACACAGAAAGTAGGTTTCCATTTATTAAATAAGCATGTCTATTTTTTTCAGACGTGGAGAAATAGAGATATGATCAGAAATGAGGAAATCCAGTATACTGAAGTACTTAACTATATTTTTATCTGAAATACACAAATGCAATAAAAGAAATTAAAATACTGTAAACACAAAACACCAGCATTTTTTACTTCTAGTCAAAATGGAGAAATTCTGTCATCTTAGGAGAAAAACTCCAAGTCAGATGCAGAAATACTTGATGTCCCCTCATCTGTGTCCTTCTTCTGTCTGTGACATTTACATGTCTGCCCATTCTAGAGTACTGAGGTGCAGGAAATTGGGCACTACAGTGTAACTCTGTCTGAGCACGGTTGGTGTCACTACAGTTGCTGTATAGAATTAAATTCATGATGTTAAGATCTAATGAACAATTAGGTTTGGCTTTGCCATGGGCTTTGGGGCACATTTAACATTCTTATGTGAGATCCATTGGTACTGGTGAAATGAACCTGCTGCTACTTTCTTAAGATGAAGTGATTACTGAAAATATACTGAATTTTCTTTACTGGTATTAAAGAAGAAAAAAAATTGAAGATTAAGGGATTACTTCTGGAAGTGTTTTACATGTTACCTGCTTTGCTGTTCTATTTCCCAGTTCATCTGCTATCTTCTGCCACCGTCGGGACTCTACCTCCTCTGGTGGATACTTCAAAAGCAATTGCTCCAGTTTTTTCTAAATCAACAGTGAAAAGGAATAAACACATTTTTCCAAGTACAGTTATGAGCTGTCAAATATCTAAATACATGATTCTGATCTCCCAAGTGCTATAAACATTATCACACCATTTGCTTTTATGCTCATGTATGTTGCCACAGCTACAAAATTAAAGTTTCCTGTTACCTGTTCCTCCACAGTCCACAGTTGGTTAAAAGTTTCAGGTTTGGTCTCATCACAAAGTCGCCCTCTTATCATCTGCTCAAATACAGGACATAAAATGGAATATATGTTTAGAAAAATTATAGCTCGGATAATTGATTTGAACCCTCTCCCTACTTAAGTTAAACCAAAGCATGAGACTTCAAAACAAAATTTGTCGAAACCAAAGCTTAGTTCCAAGATTTGAGTACAGGAATGGCATGAAGTACATGAACATTTGAAGTAACAGTTAAGACACATTCCATACTCAAAAGAGGAAAAACAAATTTAAAATTACTATTTTGTCTTTTTTATTTCTTTCCTTTTGAACAACTACCTGTGGACGACTGTTTGTGGAACCTTCTGGACCATCACTTAAAGGCAAGACAGAGTATGAAACAGACTCTCCATCCTTCTTGGGATCCAAAGGACTTTTTGGTCTTGCAGGGATACCTACTGCAGGCAACACAAAGGAAGAATTATTGAACTTCCACACTGGTCATTTCCTTCTTGTAACATATGCCCACTTTCTTTTACCTTTGTCAAAAATCAGCTTCACTCTCCTACTGTTACGTTTTCGGTTTTTGAATTCTCTCTCAAAGTTTCCAAGGCTAGTGGTGTATTGGTCCCAGGCAATCTCAGGGAGCTGAACAACTCTCTGAGGAAATGGAAGACCCATATCAACCTGAAAAAATAAGAATGAAAAGTAAAAAGCAATACTTAATGCAATCACTTTATATCCAAACCAAAACCTACAAATATTGAAATGCTCCAAAATCCAATGCTGCTTTTTATTTGACAGAAGAATGGAAAACCAGAATTTCTGAAGTGCCATGCAGCACAGTTTTTTTAAAGAGAAGGTGAGATCTTTCAAGAATTATACACAACAGTGCATATGAAATATGCAGCGGCACGGTCAATGATGGCTTATTGAGCAGAAAACTTTTGAAGTGTGCATCTCACAGCTCAAATCAGGTGTTTGACACTTCAATAACCTGTTTCTGACTGTCCTTTATTAAACAGACCCTTAGCTCAGGATGTGCACCTTTCTTAACCCAGGAACCCAAAAGATTCAGAGTTTTATCATCTGACACCTCAACCCCTCCCATCAAAGAGATCTATGCCTATTTTGCACTCATTTTGCTGTCTTCTGCCTAGAACAAAACTGTTGCAAAGCTCACCTCATTATTTAAAGGTCAACTGTAAGACTATCATTCCTTTGGTCCTTTTTGGACAAAAGTACATCAGAGTACTTGAAACTGTCATTAGTATTTCCCCATAAAATGAATATCAAATGCAACACTCTTACATCATGCATTGCTATTAACTCATCTCAAAAGAAAGACAACTACTGAAACCAAGGGGCTTACATGTGACCCAGGTATCTACAAACCTAGGAAAAGAGAACCATAACTTCATTCTTCACTGAAATACATGTTGCTATCACACTAGAAGGTAACCTTGTTTGCCAGTGGTAGATGCTGCAGTGATACAGGATTCAAGCTGAAAACATTTTTTTCAGCACTCCTGTTACTACAGGGGTTTTAAAGCTTGAAAAGAAAATGTTTCCTTATAGAAATGGATTCTCCTCTATCAGACAATGTTCTATTCTATTATCTGTAACTCAGGTATGTTTTCTAGTGTTCACTTTGGGTTTAGAATATGGACTACACTTCCTGCTCTTTAAACATACCCTACCAAATTAATTCAAAGCACAACATTTGATTTCTCAAATGAGAAAGATTAGAATTTTTTGATCTGATACTTCCAGTCACCTGTAGACTTCAAGTTGTCTTAAAATATCTACACTATAACCAGAAATATAACAATTACATTTCTACATACCAAAAAAAAGGAGAGGAAGCATACCTGATAAAATCATTGAAGACCTATGTCTTACAGATCCAGTAAGAAAGCAAAGAGCTATTTTTCTCAGCAGTTAAAAGATTCTAAGCTCATAATTTTTATGCAAGTATATATATCTATTCTTCAATTTCTACAGAGGCTGAATTACTAGTTATTAAAAAAAAATTCCAAGGAAGACTTAGGAAAAGTCCATAGAAATACCTTCTTCTGGAGTCTTTCCACAAATCCAATAGGATCTTTCAGTGCTTCTCTCTGGTGTCTGCCTAAACTTTCAAGGTCTTGAACTGCTTGAGTACGTTGAGCCTCGAGTACAGCAATCGTCTGTAACAGTCTCTGATAACTACAGAGACAAAGGAAAACATCTCACTGCAATTGCCTTTAAAAGTGACACCCCCCAGCTAAACACTAGCCATGGTTATCTGCCAGACCTACCAGATTTCATAGCTTATCTGAACCATTTCATACACATTTTTACTGAATTGAAGTAAAAATATATTAAATTAATTTTAAGATTACATGAATTTACATAAACCCATAAGGGAAAATATAAAAGTGGCTTCCTTTAAACCTGTAAATTCTACAGTAGCTGAAACAATATGGTATCAGGGACAAACTATTCATATTCTCAATAGCTGTAACCAACAGGCTTTGCTTACAAAGTTAAAATACCACAAACAAAATGAGCTAATTTCTCTTCATCAGCTTCCTTCTACCCCAATACAAGTGGCTGCCACAGAATTTGAACACTTCCCTCAACCATCCAAATGCTTGACAGGAATGGTTTATATACACAGCATTTCATAGGAGCCCCACCTCAGAGCAAAATATGAGAATCATTTTTGAAATGTAACAACAAATCAAGGAATAAGTAATTTGCAAAATAAATTCAAACCAGATTCCCCTAAGAATACAGAAGCTGAATGAAAATGTCAGTGTTCTCTCAAACGTGGCCCCCCAGAGTCACAGGCAATTTGGAGTGTCTATTTAACAGACACGTTCAAGCATCACTGCTGGGACTGTCATGCCTGTACCCAGTAATGAGTGCATTCCAAACTGGTTTTCATAAAGCTAACTCACACTCTGGAAACCATATGACATTTTAACTCAGCCTTTAAAAAACTTAACTACATTTAATACCTTTTATTAGCTTTGAAGTAAGAGTTGCCCACTTCAGTTTCTGAAATCCCATTGCTACCCATGGCCCCTGTTGTTGCAAATTATTATGTATTAACTTTTTTCATGCCAATGTTTTCTGACATTTAGTATTACAACTGTAATTTAGTTCACACAAAATACACATACTAATATCAGGTAAGAGCAGTTCACTAGAACAGTATTTCAGTATATTTTCTTTCTGTTCTCTTATTGCTAAAACAAAGACAAGCCTGGCACAATTAATTCCATAGGTACTACAGAAAAGATCCAGAGTTTGCTGAGGTAATTCAAGTTTTTTAACTGACTGCACTAATAATTAAGTAAGGGTTTAAGTGGATGGAAGCATACAGTCTTAAGGCAAAATACAGGCTTTGTACCTTCAAATATTTAAGCTTCTACCTGGACATTAAACTGCAGCCTTCTCCATGAGAACAAGTAATTTTCTTTCCACTCAAATGTAACATTTACAAACATAAAATATAGCTTGAAAGTTTGAAACTAAAATACTGAGCTTGTTTAAAAACAGTAGGACATGATTCTGTTATGAATTTATTATTATGTACATTCAGGTTCACATGGAAGCAAGACCTAAAATGCTTGTTTATTAGGCCATTAATATTGAATAGTACTGAATGTTTTCAGTTAATACTGAAAAAAATATATTTTTATATTTTCAGTATATACTACTGGGAAAGTACTCCAGTTTCTTCTAATCAAAATCACTCTGCATAAAGTGAGATAATGAATGTGACTATTCTTCAGCAGGTGCAAAACTAACTCCAGCAGCAGCTTACAGAAGCAGTGACACATCAGAACTGCCTGGGACAGCAGCACGGCTCAGGCTGCTCCAGGCAAGCAGGAGCCAGGGCTGTGGATGGAGGATTTTACCAGACCCTGCCCACAGCAGGCTCCAGGGAAATCAAACAGGCAGGATGCCAGCAGATGCAGCTGTAACAACACAGAAGAGCTTAAGGATACCTGGGGAGAGGATTTACCCTGGACAACAAAAAGCCTGTCTCCGTCAGCAGGTGCCCAAACTTGTGTTAACAGAGCTGCAGTAACAGAGGCTCAGCAGCTGCACAAATTTGCATCTAAAAAAAGGGCAGGTATTTAAATTTTTTTTTCTCAAATCATTTTACTTCATTTATTCAAATTGTATTTAAGCAATTGATTTTCTAAATGAAATTGAAAAAAAAGTAATAATTTCATTTAAAACATGTAAATACATAGAAGTAAAAAGCAATCACATGTTGGAGATTTAAATTAAGCGATAATTTAATGATGATTCACATGTGTAAAGGGAAGAAAGAAATCATCTTAATGAGGTAACTTTAAATAATTTAGTCAGAATGGAAAGAGATGAATTTACGTTTGGGGAAAAATAACACAAATCCAAGAATATTCAGCTTCAGTTACTTCCTTCATTAAAACATTCACAAGACCTCACTGAATTGGTCTTTGTGGAATTAAATAAAAATACAAGAATGTCAGGATCATTCAAAAAACAAGTCATAGGATACAGATCTGTGGCTACAGAGCAGCACTATAATTTGAGAAAAGGGGTTTTTGAACCAACTGTTCGACTAAGAGGTTTCCTAGCACTTTGTCGTACCTCTACTAAGATATGCATTAACTTGGAGCTATTTACTTTAACTTCAATGTTCAGTTTTTATGCATTAATATATTCTGAAGCCCAAGAATAAGACTACAGTTTTATCAAGTGAGTATGAGAAGTACTGAAATACACAAAAATAGGGATTTTGGGATCTTTCATTGCCTGGGGAAAAAAACTGAAAATACTAGTCCTGAAATACATAGTCTGCATACTCCATATTCTGGTACTTGCTGCAGAACTGCTTCTCCCTAAACCACTGCACATCCCTTTTAACTTTCACAGGACCTTTTAGTGAGCTGTGTGTCTGCAAATGTTCTTTTAAGATTTGAACATCTGCTATTTCCACAGGTTTGTACAGGCTCTCTCACCCTGTATGACTGTAATAAAGCCAAGTATTTCTCTGAAAAAGCTACAAGCTACATAAAAACACAAATACACTGAGCCCTTCCTTGAAGCCTCTGTCAATTCTGGTCTCTTAGCCTCAAATGCTCCTGCTGCATTATGCAAGAGATCATGTGAATGAGTAACTTCCAGGAGTATTTTTAAAAGTGGCTAATTCCACTCTCTATCTTTCCAGATTCTCTCTAAGTAAGCACAATTCCGATCCAAACTACTTCCTGCAGGTGTGATAAAATTCTCCAAAATAGAAAAAGTCTTCATTAAAAGTAGGTCATTAATCGCCTGCAAAACCAGCTCCACTCTTCAATGAGGCACTCAAAGAGCAACCACCTCTACATCATCCAGCTACAGTTGCATCATTTTCTCTGAAAGATCTGTCAGGAATTACCAAGGAAAATTATCTCACATCTTTTGCCAAAACCAAAGACTCTCAAGTAAACTCACAGACAGGTCCATTCCACTGACTGAAGTTACACTTTCCTCAGTGCTACATACTAACTTGTTAGCACATACAAAATCCAAAGCAGTTTTCTTTGCAGGAAAACATTCTCTCCATAGAATGCAATTCTGTTTCCACAATCCCAGTATTGAAACACTCTTCCAAGTTCTTACATCATGTTAATTGCCAGGAAGCTTCTGGATGGACACTTGAATCATTTCCCACAGCACAAAACAGTTTCAACAGAATCTCTGTTGAAAAACCTTGATTAACATAGGGTTTAAGGGACCAATATTTCAAAAAGGAAAGCTGCTTCTTACAGACTGACAGTGATCAGCAGAAATTCCTGCTGATTTGGTTTTTCTTTTGCAGTGACAAGTATTCCACTCTTCTGGATTGCTCCATGAAGTAATTATCACAGAGCAGAGCCAGACTTCTGGAATTCATGCCATAAGCAATTAATTCTTGCACAATTAATTTCCATGAATCTTGTTCTAAGTGATTAGGGACACAGCAGCCTCCTCTCTTCCCTGTGACAAAATCTGAGAAGAGCAGAGCTATTGCCTTAGTGAGACCTATGTCCATTCTGATCCCGTTAGCTCAGATCTACTTTCAAAATGCCTCTCCCTCCAGTCCTTCCCTTCTAACAGCATTTACATTTCCCATCACAGTACTCAGAGTCACATCACAGATTGCAGTTTCTCTATGTCAGGACCTAACAGCAATTTTTAGAAAACATTATATTAATACAGAATCAATCTGCCTTAACAATTGCATGTTTCTTAAGCTCTTTTTTTCTATACTAAATAACTTGGCACTGACCTATAAAAGGTGCCACATTATTCAGAATTTTTAAATAAATAATTTCCTTTTTAGAGTCTGTCAGTCACAGAGTCTCTCCGTGGTTTCTGCAGGTTTCCTCTCCCTTGAAGAGAACATCTTTAGCCAAATGAGTGATGTGAGCAACTGATAGTACAAAACAAAGATTTTAACTTTTAGGTAGCTAAATCAAATTAGTGGGAGAAATGAAGTGGCTGTTGATAACATTCACACCAATCAAAAAAAAAAATCAACTCAAAATCAATATCCAAAGTTAGCTGAAATTACTTTGGCAGCTACACTTGCTTTACATCACTCAGTACCTTGAAAAGATATGCACTTTGATGCCTAATCAAAAAGAAGTGATTTATCTTCTTGACTTCTAAAACGCTGTGCAGCTGATGGTCATCAATTTCCATGCCCAAAACTAAGTGCATTTCTTCAGTTATATAGGTCACAGCATGTTGAAATGTACAGTACCATCAATTCTGGGGGGCTCTGACACTAAAAATGAGTACTGTAATTTAGAAGTCCTCATTAGTTCTTGTGCAGGTAGGAACTGTTTTACAACACGTCTCATAATAAAACACCGCTAAAAAATATATCTATAAAAACCTTGTTATTTTGTATTTCCAAGAGCTCTGACACAAAACTGGTTATTAGTCACCAGGAGGATTTGAGCAAGTCTTTGTTTCATTGCCATCTGCTGGCACTCCAGCAAAGTACAGATTACAACCTGCTCTCCCATACCCAGGTCATTTATTACTCTGGACTTTGGTCTACTAACAGCAATTTTTAAAAAATTATTAGCATCCATCATTAGAAGCTAAGATGAGAAAGTACTGGATATTAAAAATGTAAAGACTGTAAATTATGTAGGAAAGGAAAACATTAATTGCACTTAGAATTTTCA